ATGATTTTTTTTATAAAGTAGATATTAAAATACGCGGTCAAAATAATCGCTTTATAAACACCGAACTCTCCTTCTTCAACCTTCCATCAATCATCATCATCACCATCTCAAAAACCTGACTTTCTCGAGAAAAAACAACTCTGACTTTTGCACATGTACTAAAAAGAACATGCCAGCCACAGAGTTCCAAGGATCATTCGGAAGGTCGTTACTAACTCTAAAACGAGACCAACCAGACTCTAACCACCACCACCACCAGCCACCACCAAGCACCATGGAGGTCGAGCTAGACTCTTTCCAAAGACAAGTCGCCGAAAAGTTCATCGATCTCAACGCCTCCGCCGGAGAAAACAACCTTCTCTCCCTCTCCTGGATCAGCAAGCTTCTTGATTCCTTCCTCTGTTGCCAAGAAGAGTTCCGAGCCATCATCTTCAACCACCGCTCACAGATCTCATCTCCTCCGATGGATCGTCTCCTCTCCGATTACTTCGAGCGGAGCATCAAAGCCCTCGACGTCTGCAACGCGATCCGCGACGGGATCGAACAGATCCGCCAGTGGCAGAAACTCTCCGACATCGTTATCTCGGCGTTAGACAGCCACCGTCCCGTCGGAGAAGGTCAGCTCCGGCGAGCTAAGAAGGCTCTGATCGATTTAGCCATCGGAATGCTCGACGAGAAGGATCATTCTTCTTCCACATTAGCTCATCGTAACCGTTCGTTTGGTAGAGTCAAAGACAAAGACAATCACAGCAATCACCACCGTTCGTTCGGACATTTCAGATCTTTGTCGTGGAGTGTGTCGAGATCCTGGTCGGCTTCTAAGCAGTTACAAGCGTTGGGTAATAATTTAACAACTCCTAAACAAAACGACGTCGCGGCGAGTAACGGTTTAGCTGTACCGGTTTACACCATGACTTCGGTTTTGTTGTTTGTGATGTGGGTTTTGGTGGCTGCGATTCCTTGTCAAGACCGTGGGTTGCAAGTTAACTTCTTTGTTCCCAGGCATTACCAATGGGCGGTTCCGGTTATGTCGTTGCACGATAGGATCGTGGAGGAGTCTAAGAGGAGAGATAGGAAGAATTGTTGTGGGTTGCTTAAGGAGATTGAGAGGATTGAGAAGAGTTCGAGGGTGATGAATGAGTTGGTTGATTCGATTCAGTTTCCGTTGAGTGAGGAGAAGGAGAGTGAGATGAAACAGAGAGTGGAGGAGCTTGTGGAGGTTCATGAGGGTTTGAAGAAGGGGTTGGATCCGTTTGAGAGGAAAGTTAGAGAAGTTTTTCATCGGATTGTGAGAAGCAGAACCGAGAGTCTTGATTCTCTTTGTTAATGATGGTTGGAACATGTTTGTCCTAATATGATGATGGTTCGTTCATATTTGGAATTTTTTTTTATTGTCTTTCTTTTTTTTTTTTTGAACAATGTAAAGAGAAACTGAAAGAGTGTAGAAATGATCTTCTTATCTCTTTGTGATGCTGATAGTGATGATGTTCTTCCTTGTGTAGCTAGTGTTTACCAAGAATGTGTTGACATTGATATGGAACTATCGGTTACATTCAAAAGGCAAAAGAATTATAATTGGTTATGTTATTGTTCTGAAATGTGTAGAATGTCTACAGATGAAATGAAGTATATAGCCTATGAGTGATATCTTATAACATAAAACTACAATGTTCCAACTTGGCTCTTCAGAATCTTTTGTTTCCTGTCCAAGATTATGTTGCTAGATAGCTCTCAACTTCATGTTTTGTTACAAGAATTGATTCTTCCTGAAAACAGAGCCCAAATGCGTTCAATTTGTATGGACAAATAAGTGTAAGAACGGAACAAACCTTCACTGCAAATAGCCAGAGACGGCTCACCGTTAGTTTCAAGACATTTCATAAACACAACTACTCACGGTTTGCCTCAGACATTAGTGATATTCATCACTGGAAAATCTGATAATACGTGCAATTGTAAAAATACATCATTGGCAAAACCGGAGATCCCTTAAAAAGAATGAACAAAAAAAGACAGGGAAAAACAATTGAAGATGATTAGTGCATCCGAGAGACTCCCATTTAGACATTAGTCATCATTGTCATTCTCCTATTTATAGAGTTTCTGATGTCCATGCCTAGACATCGTCTCTTGCACTCACCAACTAAAACTTTAAAAGGAGCGAAACATCCAATGAAGTAAAAAGAACAGAAACATATTCATCATTCTTGTATAATATGTAACATGTGCATCAAGAGACCCATTTAGACATAAATCATCATCCCCATCTCCTAACAAGGAGACTCCGACTCTGATCTCATGTCCCTGTCTTTTCATCGTCATTTCCATCAATCAATTCAAAACACCAAATGATAACCAAACCAACGAGAGAAATCAAAATCAAACCATATAAAAAAATGAGATCACATTTGTAAAGAAATCAAGATTATATCAAATGAGATCACATTTGTAAAAAAAGGAGAAAAATGCCTTGATTTTTTTCCCTATATAGATTATTAATCTCTCAACGTGTATTTAACATCACCGCATGCAAAACTAGAAGTGTTATATGCATGAAATGGACAAGTGTTCTACCATCTATGCATGAAATGGACAAGTGTCATATGCATGAAGTGGGCGAAGAGAGGCGCAAACAACTAGTACACAAGTAAATCGACCAAGCAAAAAAACGGTTTAATTTTATCGGTTTAAATATGGTTTGAGAAATAATTTGGTATCAACAAAACCGGTTCTGTCTCCACACAATTCCGTTGGTCGACGTCTTAAGTCTCCCACCGAAATCGAAGGTTGACCCTTCGTCTGCTTCTTTGAGCTTTCTCTCTGTTCCACCATTAACCTCCCCTTTTCTCTTCTTTCTTTCTCATAACAATCATTTTTGCTACCTTTTTTTTCTTTCTCCATGATCATTCTCTTCTTTGTTACTTCGCCACCTCTTGTTTCCACGTAAAGAACCCAAGATTCCTCTGTTTCTGCTGCTAGAAAGAAAACACCTCTTTTAATCTTCCGTTGCAGTGAAAATCTTTGTTCTCTAGAAAGAGACACTCTCTGTGTCCGAATTTAGACGCCCCCATCTTCAAAAGCTGAAGCTTTGAGACACAGAGAGAAGTATAACCCTTTGCCAATGGTCATTGAAGTGAGTATTTTCAAGAAAATGTTCACCCTTTTTGATGTGGTTAATGTTTATGTTACAGGATGGGTAGGGTGAAGCTGAAGATCAAACGACTTGAGAGCACAGGCAACAGGCAGGTTACATACTCGAAGCGAAAAAGTGGCATACTGAAGAAAGCCAAAGAGTTATCAATCTTGTGTGATATTGATATTGTCCTTCTTATGTTCTCTCCTACTGGAAAGCCTACCGTTTTCCATGGTGAACACAGGTACACAATATCATAAACATTCTCAAGTTTTGTTTTGTTCTGTGATCATGTTTCACTCGTATGTTTCATTGCATCATATCTCCATTCTTGGATGCATTGTTTGATTTTTTTTCATGTCCTATGTTCTTCATAAAGGTCTTCACTGACTTTTGTTTAGGAACTCGTACAAGTTGTTACATGATTTAGTTGTAATAGTGAGAGTTATTAGACACTAGCATGTGATTGATGAATAATAGGTGGGAGAGAGAGAACATATGATGGCTTGAGGATTCATTTTCCTACAATTAACTGAATTGAGTTTTCTTATGACTTGGTTTCTTACAGTTGCATTGAAGAGGTTATTTCTAAGTTTGCGCAACTAACTCCACAAGAAAGGACAAAAAGGTATGGTAAGCATTATAATTATGATATAAATAAAATATATGGATTGCTTCCAACAATTTGATGTGTTTTGTGTTATTTAACTAAATTATAGTGTCTTGTGTTTTGACATAACAGGAAATTGGAGAGCCTAGAAGTAAAGAGAAAAAAAATCCACTGCATTTCATCCTTTCTACATCTTCTTTTTCATCGACTTTTGTTTGTTTGAAACACAAATCTGAGCTTCTTTGTTTTGCTCGAATCACAGGCATTAAAGAAGACTTTTAAGAAGCTTGATCATGATGTAAATATACATGAGTTTTTAGGAGCAAGGTACTTCCCATGAATTTCTCAAGTATAACCAATCTTTTGTCATTTTATAAGATGTTTGTTTAACATATCTGAGATGTTGTCTTCTCTATCCTTCAGGAATCAAACTATTGAGGTATGCATCAGTTCTTGATATTTTGTCAGATAAAGCTTTCTGAATCATATTTCTAAAGTCATTGTGAACCTTGACAGGGTCTGAGTAATCAAGTAGCAATTTTCCAAGCTCAGCTTATGGAGTGTCATAGGAGGCTAAGGTATGAATATTAGTTAGTTTCTAGTGATTTCAAGTATCTTAAAATCTAGTATCAGTCATATTTGAATCTTCTTCTTTTGGTGGCTTTTTTCAGTTGTTGGTCAAACATCAATAGAATAGAAAACACTGACCACCTCAATTTGTTGGAAGAATCATTGAGGAAATCCATTGAAAGAATCCAGGTTCATAAGGTGTGTTATATTTATTTTTATTTTAACTCAATCATATAGACTCAAGATTCAGGATTTTAATTACCAAAAACGGTTTCCTTTAATTTGCAGGAACATTACAGAAACAACCAACTTTTGCCAATAGAATGTACAACGACACAGGTTAAAACCATTTGTCTCCTTTCCCATCTCTCACTCTCTCTCTCTACATGACAACTTCTTAACAAGACCAATGCATTTAACTGCAGTTTCACAGCGGGATACAGTTGCCTTCGGCAATGGGAGGTAATAATAGTATGCAAGAAGCTCACCCTATGTCTTGGCTCCCTGATAATGATAACCAACAACAAACAATCTTACCTGGTGATTCCAGCTTTCTTCCTCATAGGTAATGATGAACATCTTTAGTCACACTGAATATGTAAACTATTCACTTTGAAAAAGCTCTTTCAACACATGCTACGCTGATTTTTGAAAACAGAGAGATGGATTGTTCGATTCCCGTTTACTCAAACTGCTTCTTTGAGTCTATAAAACAAGAAGATCAGATATGCAACAACCCTAGACAAACATTTGAGCAGTTAGATCAACAAGGAAACGGTTGTTTGGGTTTACAACAAATTGGGGAGGAATATTCATATCCTACGTCATTCGCTACTAGTCTTGGAATGGAAGAAGATCAAGAGAACAAGATCAAATCTGAAATAGAATTGAACAACTTGCAACAACAACAACAACAACAAGATCCTTCTTCAGTGTATGATCCAAGATCTGATAATGGTGGCTGCTTTCAAATCCCTCATGAGCAATCCATGTTTGCCACTGATCATCATCAGCATCATCAAAATTGGGTTCCAGATTCAGTGTTGGGTCAGACTTCTTACAACCAGGTTTTTGTTTCACACCTTCCATTGGAATTATTTAACTATAAGATCCACTAAAATTAATTTTTCTATGTATCTTTAATGATTGCAGCAACCAAACTAAGTTAAGATAGCGCTCATGTATTTAACCTATTCTATGGATGATGATTGGACTTACTTTTGAGCAAGGACGAGTTTAAGCCATTGCTATTATGTCCAGTATTTATATATATAGAGATAGTGTGTGTGTGTGTGTGTGTGTGTTTGTGTACATGTATTGCTGTTTTTTTTTTGGGTCAAAATATTGCTGTGTATGAGAGCCTATATCATACTCGGGGATTTTAGGTATTTTGTATATAAGAGTTGTTGTTAGAAACTATATATTTTGTAATAATGATAAAATATAATCAGTATGTATAACCGGCCTAAGTGTTTGAGACAACAAAACTACAAAAGATGGTATCATGATTGATAGTAGACACAACATACTCGGAAGTAACAAAACAAAAGGGAAGTAACAGTACAAAATGATCGAATTAAAAGAGACATTAAACAAAGCTTCATTAGAATACGTAACCCTAAATAAAATCCATAACCTCGTATTAGTTTTGCAACCAAACGGGCACTTGGTCACTAATTTTCACATGGAAACTTGAGACAGACAATCGACAAACATGATTTGTCTCAATTCTCAAACCACTTAACAATACGTCAAAGCAGTGCTGGTCCAATATTTTTGGATGTCCTAAGCAAAATTCTATCATGTTATTTTATGTTTTATCTAACATCATTATATATGTTATATGTATTTAGAATATATGTTACATTAAAAATTCATAAGCTGTTTCCATTTCTTTTTAGAGTAAAATTTACACTTCAAAAAACATATTTACAATCGATTTCTCATTTATTTGAAACAAAAACACAAAGAAAAGCCGTTTACAACTAAAACATACAACCATGAACTTTTCATGCTTTATTTCAAATAAGAAGTAAAAATATTTTCATAAATTAATTATATAACAATACTTTTAAATATTATCATAAACATTAGACTACATTCATCATAATTTTACTAAAATCATTTGAAAATGCAAAATCTCTTATTTAAAAATACAATTATTTTTTCTATACACTTACTCAAGATATTTATTAATAAAAGTTTTGTAATAATGCTAAACTTTCTTACAAATATCACTATTCAAATTATAAATTATGTCTCATATAAATACTAATAAAAAAATTTAATATAAAAAAAATTACTGAAAATATATCCATTTAAAATTGGATGCCCTAAGCGACCGTTTGAGTGGCTTGCTCTCTGGGCCGGCCCTGGGTCAAAGTCATGTCTACAAGGTAAAATCACAATTTTCTAAACTCTTGCGAACACACTCTTCCAAGCTAATCAGCTTCTTGTATATTTTCTTAGACCACCAAACAAAATCAAATCAAATCCATCTGTGAAAGAGCAACAATCATACCCTTTCATCATTAAACTATTATTTTTACCTTAAACAATTATTTACTTTGAAACAATAAGTATGAATGTGATATATATAAAACCATCTTTGTTTTACTGTACGCATTAAAAATTCATGTATATATGTTTTATATATATAAAACCATCTTTGTTATATATATATATATATATATATATATATATATATATATATATATATATATATATATATATATATCACATTCATACTTATTGTTTCAAAATAAATAATTGTTTAAGGTAAAAATAATAGTTTGATGATGAAAGGGTATGATTGTTGCTATTCAAAACATATGTGCTTTGAAATGGATGTATGTTTAAAGAATAGTTGCCAAAAATTTGATCCCATCAACTCTTCTTGCATAGAATGTTTTGTGTCCATTAAATCTTAAAATCATGAAAATTATAACCATTAGATTAAATTTGTTTTCTTATAAAAAAATGATGATGTCATATGAGACTTGCTATAAATAAAAAAAATATGATGTCATATAAGAACAAAAAAACATGTGTTGTTTGAAAAATAAGTGCTCATGAAAAAAGTATTTTATATCTAAAAAGACATTTCTTAGGACCATTAAATGAAAAAGTAAACAATAAAAAAAATCAGATCAATCTTTTGCTTTATTTAATTTGTATCAACTTTTCAATCATTCCTAAATAAAATGTTATAAAAACAGTTATTATGACCATTAGATGAAAACGAAACAATTAGAATCATCGGATTATAACTCTTCAAATATGAAAAGTATGACCCTTTCATTAAAAAGATGTGTTGCTTCAAAAAAAAATGTTCACAGCAAAAATATTTTATATCGTACATATTTTTTAGGACCATTAGATGAAAGAATGGAATAATTATAACCATCAGATTGTAAATCTTTAATTATTTTTAAATACAAAAATTATGAAAATGTATGAGTTTTCCTATTAAAACATGTGTTGTTTCAAAAGAAATAATTGTTAAAAGGCAAAAATAATTGTTTAATGATGATAGGGTATGATAATTAGGACCATCAGATTGGAATTCTTCAACTTTTTTTAAAAAAACATGAATTATTAAAAAGTATGACTCTTCATTTTAAAAGATGTATTGTTTCAAAATAAATAATTGTTTAACGTAAAAATAATACTTTGATGATGAAAGGGTATGATTGTTTCTCTTCAAAACATATGGGCTTTGAAATGGATGTATGTTTAAAGAAAAGTTGCCAAAAATTTGATGCCATCAACATTTATTGCAAAAAATGGTTTGTGTTCATTAGATCTTAAAATCATGAAAGTTATGACCATTAGATTCAGTTTTTTTTTCTTATAAAAAAATGATGGTGTCATATGAGATTTTCAATATATAAAAAAGATGATGTCATATAAGAACAAAAAAACATGTGTTGTTTGAAAAAATAACTACTTATGAAAAAAGTATTTTATATCTAAAAAGAAATTTCTTAGAACCATTAAATGAAAAACAAAACAATATATATATATATATTTTTTTTTTTTACACCGACCTACAGACTCATATAGACTCTGTAAACCAAAATTGGTATCTCTGTATCCATGTGAACAACGAAACGAAAGACCCGAGTAACGTCTAGTGGCTTTCTCATCCCCTTGTTGCCTAGGGGAAGAAGAGCCTTGTAGCCTCAGCTTTGCATATATAGCTTGGTACATCTTTACCCATTAAAACCACACTACTCTCGAGAAAGTGCTTCAACATACTCAAAAACTCACCTTTATCAAACCTGTTCGTGCCCTTGAGCTTACTCTTCAGCTTAGATGAAAATCTCTTAACCCAATTCCATAACTTCAGCATCTTTCCCCGAGATCTCCCACCAAGTTATTGGATTGATGATTGTACCATGATTAAGGACCAGACGAACCTGAAGCGTACGTAAAGATAAGAGAGACAACTGGAAATGCGAGTTCACTCGTTCCTGACTCGTTACGGCATTGGAGATAACTTCGAGCAGCAAGGACCAGGCGAGCCGTTAGGGTTTAAGGTTTTGTAATTGGAGCAGTTATTCTGATTTTTTTCCGGTGTTTCCAAATATATTTTCATATTTATTACGCATTTAGCTGATGATTTACTTTAAGTTCTAATAACTAGTACTGTTATTCTAAATTAACAAAAAATCGAAACAATTAAGATAAGAAGATGAGATTTAAAACTTGGTCAACTAGTTGACTAATCATTGTAAAATGTCAATGGCATGTACATAACTCTACGCAACCAGCAAAATGTCCTTAATTAGATCGTGGTCCACTATAAATATGAAGTTGTTAATATCAATCACATGCATCTCTAATCATTATGTTGCTGAAGTTAATTACAACTCTCAATTTATATATAGGTGTAAGTTAAGAATGTGTATATATTTGACTTAGTGAATGCCAAGTCTACCAACCATTTGTGGAAATTCTATACGACTTCGTTAAACAAAGAGACAAACAGCTAGACTTAAACTAATTGAGATTTGAAATTGATTAGAGTTTCGGTTGGACTCTTGTATATATATACTACTATCCCTGAGTAATCCACTCAAATATGTATGTAGTAGATTACTTCAAGTTATGTAATATCTTCTTGGTGATTAATTTAGGATGTTCCATTATATATAGGCATTATAAAGTCGTTCTAAATCGCTAATAATTGATTTATCATAGTTCCACACTTGCACAATACATGCATGAAGTTTTTTTTTTTGTCAATATATACAAATTTCAACGTCGTTCTTTAATCTGTTGTTTAGCAGCAGCGTCGGCCAGTGGGTCCATAATTTCGGCTCCAAACCTTAACAGTGTTTATTTGTTGGGACATAGCTGTGTATGATAATATAAGCGTTGAAGTTGAATATTTCTATTCCAATTAGTTGACACTATCGATCCACGAACAATGTTATTCTTTTCTTTTTCCTAATATTAATTCTGATGCACAATTAATTGTTTATTTTAAGTACGTGTGTTGGTACTTGTTTAAAAGAAATTTTTTAAACTAATAAATTTTTAATATTCTAGTTCAATTTGGTGTTATGTTTAACTTGATTAGTTTAGTTCAAATGGATTGGCAGTTGACCTTTCAAGATTTCAGAGTTGCGTGCTTGTTTTTTTTTTTCTGATGTTCTCAAACGTTGCAGCATAATATGTGTACATAGATTTTGTGAAAATATATACTGTATCGTCTAGTCAATTTATGTACAATGCTTTTACTTTAGTCTACAAAACTCTTTTAAATTGATATTTTACTAGTTGTTGACCAAAAACAAACTGATTACTTGTCATTTAATTTATAATTTTGGAATGGATCGTTAAACCAAAACAGGAGACGGTAAGTTTTTATAATTAATATATAGAAATGATATTCTCAGAATATTAATATAAGAAACTTGCATATTTTGTGAATTATTTAATTGGTATAGTCAAAGGATGTATAGGTTGCATATATAGAAATCAAAAGTTCCGTGAACAAATTTTGAGAGCTTACAAAAAGAAAATCAAGGAGAATAATGGAGAATGAAGATTTCTTAAGAAGTACTGGTCAAGGAAGAGAAGAAAGACATGAGGAAATGAGAAAACTTGCTTCATCCCACGATGATTCTCATCAAGAACACGACCATGTAATAAGATCCCAGGTATCATAATTGTTTTTTTTTACAATTTTAAACTTACTTATATGCCATATATACATATGAATAAACCAATCCTGTATTCACATACATAATATTCATAATTTTCTCACATGAATTGTCTTTGGTTAATGGTTTGTTCCTTATCCAAACCCATTTAATCAATGATTTGTCTTGATCAATGAAGCTTATTTGAATTTTTAATGTTTCAGTTAGCTAGATCTTCGAATCTCTTAACTGTTAGATTTGTCTTTTTCAGTTTTATATAAGTTTGTTAGTATATAAATATATTTTCCACATTAATTAGATCATATATGTTATAAAAGAGAAGAATTTACTCGTATTTATCAACAACAACAATAATTATGAGAAAGTAATTAAACACTATATGTGTGGGATTTTTAAGGCATGCATATCAAATCAAGGGGAGATTATCTATCCCATAGATGTTTGTACATGTTACATCTTTTGATTAGTCATGTACTAAAATGTAATATGAGATCAGCTGGAGTCTATTAGAGTCGAGATGGAGGAGGCTAAAGAGGAAAATCGAAGGCTAAAGTCATCATTGAGCAGAACGAAAAAGGATTTTGAGATCCTGCAAACACAATACAACCAATTAATGGTGCAACATGACGACTCGAATAATAAGTTCTCACCGGAAGGCCATCATCAAGACAAAGGAAACATTAGCGAGCGCGAGGAACTTGTTTTGTTGAGCCTTGGCTCAATGACGAATAAAGAAGAAAAAGGGAAAGGCTTAATGGATGAAACTGGTGATGGCAAGAAAATTGATGAACATGAAAAAAGTAGTGATCAAGGGTTAAGTATGAGATTTGAATATGAGGATTTAAGTAATCCTAGTGAGAAGTTAGAGATTGACCATAGTCAAGAAAAGACAACCTTAGAGGTTAGTAACAATAATATGATCCCATCAGAAAATAGTTATGGGTTTAAGAATGATGGAGATGATCATGAAGATGAAGAAGAGCTTTTGCCTCAAAACCTGGTTAAGAAAACTAGGGTTTCTGTTAGAGCAAGATGTGAGACACCAACGGTTAGTACATTTTCTTCACATCTTAAATTAGTATCTACATATGAATACTAAATGTAAGTTTCATTTTAATTTGTGATTAGTAAAATTAGTATATACATATTCTTAAACTTTTTTAAAAAAAAAGATATAATTGTATCATCTCTTTTTAATAATAAATACTTTTATTATCTCTATAGAAGAAGACTGCCAAAAAGTATTTAACGTTTGACTTTTAAAATAAAAAATTTTGTTATTTTCTTGGGTGTGTGTAGATGAATGATGGATGTCAATGGAGGAAATATGGTCAGAAAATAGCTAAAGGGAATCCATGTCCTCGAGCTTACTATCGTTGCACCATTGCACCTTCTTGTCCCGTAAGAAAACAGGTAATTAAATCTATAAAACTAATAACTCCAAATAAGTATATAGATATTTATAATTTATATGTTACATAACCATAACAATATCTATATCCCTTTATATAGGTACAAAGATGTTCAGAAGATATGTCTATTCTTATCTCAACTTACGAAGGAACACACAACCATCCACTTCCCTTGTCAGCAACCCCCATGGCATCCGCCACTTCCGCCGCAGCCTCCATGCTCCTCTCCGGAGCCTCCTCCTCCTCCTCCTCGGACGCAGCCGATCTTCATGGCCTTAACTTCTCCCTATCCGGCAATCCAAAACCCACATCACCACCTTTCCTCCAAACCTCTTCTTCTCCTTCTTCTTCAGGCCATCCCACCGTCACTATCGACCTCACTGCCTCCTCCTCGTCGCAACAAACGTTCTTATCAATGCTCAATAGATTCAGTGCTCCTCCTAATAATAATGTCTCAAGATCTAATAGTTATCCCTCCACCAATCTCAACTTCTCAAACAACACCAACACATTGATGAACTGGGGTGGAAGTAGTGGTCATAACAATGAGCAATACCGTGCAGCTTACGGCAACATTGGCATGCATCAGCAATCACCTTACAACCATATGATTCAAACCCGAACCACGGGGTCATCTTTTGACATATTTGGAAGATCGTCTTCATCTTCTCTACATCCTACGCAAACCAATCTTGATCACGTTGGGATCAAGAATATTACTCATCAAGTGCAAACTTTACCGGCGGAAACAATAAAGGCGATCACGACTGATCCAAGTTTTCAATCGGCTCTTGCGACTGCTCTCTCTTCCATCATAGGCAGCGATTTAAAGAAGGATAGTGTGACTAAAAATGAAGCCAAGAAGAGCCCTTAAAGAAGTGCTCTATATGTTCATACATATATTAGACCCAGTAACTTTGTATATGGATCTAGTTTTACTAGTTTCCTAGGTCATCTATACTTTGGTTGTTTAATCATACTTTTTAATTTGTTTTTGGATTTTATATATGGAAGTAATGTGTACATATGAACTATTTTTTAATTCAAGAAGTTCTCGGATAAAACTATAAATTTTTTGGGGCAAGAGACAAAAAGATGATAAACGTGGGATGTATTGATAGTTTCTTTAATTGGTATTCCTTCACCTTCACGTTTGCTCAGATGGTGTCGTTAACGCTCATTGTCTATGTTCAATCAAACGTGAGGATCTTTACAACTACATAGTAAAGGACTTCAAGAACTCATAACTAAGCCATACAAATCAGTTTAGGTACTGAAAATTTATAGTTTCTTCTAAGTTTCTTGTGGTGCAAATCAGAAACATTTTAGGGCTTTGTTGATTTTCAGGTTTCTTGACAAAGCGGCAATCCAAACACCAGACAATAAACTGAACATAGATGGGTCTCCGGCGGATGTATGAAGGCTCTGTAGTGTGCAGCAAGTGGAGGAAGTGAAATGCGTGATCCGGGTACTTCTAGTTTGGCTCTCAGCCGCCTTATTCTACCTAGCTTACATTCAGCAAACAACCTACACAATCTTTCAGTCTCTTCAATTCCAGATCCCAGCCGGGTCTTATATGGTCTTCTTGATGCTTGGAATGACTATCTTCATACCTATCTATGACCTTGTCCTTGTACCTTTCCTTAGAAAGTATACAGGCAGAGACGGTGGTATCACACAACTTCAGAGAGTTGGAGCAGGATTGTTTCTATGCATCACAAGTATGTTGGTCTGCAGCTGAACAACCCAGAAGAACGGTAGCTCCCACAAGGCCTACGCTAGGGGTTGCACCAAGAAAAGGCGCAACCTCTTCAATGTCTGGTATGTGGCTGATTCCTCAGCTAGTGCTAATGGGTATAGGAGACGCCCTAGCTGGAGTTGGTCAAATGGAGTTTTACTACAAACAGTTCCCAGAGAACATGAGAAGTTTTGCTGGTTCTTTGTATTACTGCGGCATTGGATTAGCTAGTTACTTCAGCAGCTTTCTGGTATCAGCATTGGATTGAAGTATTTCTACTACTTTGTTGCTGGTATGATGACTCTAAACTTTGCTTATTTCTTGTTGGTCTCACATTGGTACCGTTACAAAGATGTTGTGGCCAAGAACAATGACGTGGACAAGTCTTCTAATGAGGATGGTAAGGTTTCGGTGTAAGAAAGATCTGTACTAATGAGGATGATAAAGGTCTCAGTGTAATAAAGAAACAACAATTGACCAAAACATTACATACAAATACAACCCAAACTGTTTATATCTAAGGACCATAGCTTCTGTAAAGTCCCCATATCTGTAAGAACAAACAGGGAAAAACTAATGAAATCATACAGGGACAGATTGTCCTGTGAGAGCATCATGGAGATGTAATGACCCATCTTTCATCAAGTTAATGCTTAAGCTTTTGAACCTCTCTCTTGAGTATTGTCTCGACGCCTTTCTCCAATCGGTTCCTGCTTTCATCATTGTTACAAACTCATCATAGTTTATACGCCCATCCTGCCAAAAACAAACATCCCCACTCAGAAACAGAGAGATATATTTTACTCTTCACAAGCTTAACTGTTAAGCCTTAAGGAAGATTAGAACCTTGTCAGAATCAACTTCACGCATGATGTCGTTTAGAACACTGACATCAGGTTCGCCTAACTCGTCAGTTAAAGCTTCCCGTAGCTCATCAAGTTCGATGTATGTACTTCCATCTTTGTCAAAGAACATAAAAGCTAGTTTGAAAAGCTCGTCGTTCTCTATCTTCTGCAAGTGAATGATCACAGCTACGAACTCTCCGTAATCCAGAAACCCATTCCCATCAACATCAGCCTGCGTTCACATCCATACAGGTTTCAGCAATGTTTTTTTTTCAGAGAAGGACGGTGTTTAGGTGTTTTATAAGAGAATGGGTAATGCGGAAAAATTACCACTTCCATCAACATTTTGATCTCTGGTTCACCAAGTTGTGAGCCAACCTTCTGAAGTCCAGCTTTGAGTTCCGGGTAAGTTATTCTACCATCGTTGTCTTCATCCATCAGTGAGAACATGTCCTTGATCACTTCAACCTCTTGAACAGACAAGTGCTCAGCTATTACCTGGGTGCATCAAAGAGGGATGATAATGATCAAAACCAATTAAAGAGAGCAGACAATTGACAGTCTAAAAGGTAAAACACATACACGAAGAACTTTCTTTTTGAATCTATTCATCATAGAGAACTGCTTCAATCTTGATCTGACAATATCCCCTAATGGAACATTTGGAGCTTTCTTTGCATTCTGTATCCAAGGGTGAGCTGAGAGGTGGAACCAAAAAAGTATCAGAATCAGTTCCAACCAAATCAAGGTAACAAAGAACATAAAAGTACTTCACCTAACACTTGCTGAGCAGTCAAACGCCTAGCCGGATCAGGATCCAACATCTGCTTCACAAGACTCTTAGCACTCTCTGAAATCTGAGGCCAAGGGTCTCTCTTAAAATCAATAACTCCCCGCAAGATAGCAAGAGCAACACCTTGTTCCGTCTCTGTCAACAGAAAGCACAAACTTATCAGCCTGACAAAATCACACAACTTTGTACATTATCAAGAAAACAAAAAAAAAACAAGAAGCTAACCAGCATAAAACGGAGGAACACCACAGAGCAAGATGTAGATGATAACTCCAGCACTCCAAACATCAACCTCTGGTCCATAATCTCTCTTCAACACCTCAGGAGCCATGTAATATGGACTTCCTACTATCTCCGTAAACTTATCTCCTGCAATAAACGCAATGTTCTAAAAATCAGTAAACACATCTGCTTAGTTGGCAAATCGGACCTAAACCAAACAATTTTTCCAAAATGATTTTATAAAAAAAAAAAAAATCGGTCTAAAAATCCACCTAATCAATAATGTCATATAAAAACACCTAACTACACCGAGCAATTTCTTTAACACTATATAAAAGATATAAAATTTACACACTAATCAACCGCAAGAGTTACAAAGATCAAAACTTTACCAAAACACAGACAAGCCGTAATCAATAACCTTTAAAGTAACTGTTCTAAAGTTCACCTAGGTGACAAATCAAACCTAAAAGAACCAACTTTTCCAGAACAATTTCATAAAAGAGTCTGTTTAAGCTCTAACAAACTCTGCCTAATGACTAATCAATAACTTCATATAAACCCCCTAACTAAAAGGTACAAACTTTAAACACACTAATCATCATCCACAAAAGTTAACCACACGAAAAGATCAAAACTTTACCAGGTTTAGGCTCTAACAAACTCTGTCTAATAACTAATCAATAGTTTCATATAAAGGTACAAACTTTAAACACACTAATCATCATCCACAAAAGATAAAAACTTTTTACCAGGTTTAAAGAAGACAGACAACCCAAAATCAATAGCCTTCAGCGCAGAGTTCTCCTTCTTATTAGCAAACAAGAAATTCTCCGGCTTCAAATCCCTATGCACAACACCATTCACATGACACATCATCACAACCTCAGCGATCGTCCTCGCAACCCCCGCCGCCGCTCGCTCCGTATAATGCCCTCTCGCCACAATCCTATCAAAAAGCTCTCCTCCTTCGCAAAGCTCCATGACCAAATGAACATTCTCGCTGTCCTCGTAAGTCTCCCTGAGCTTCACCACGTTGGGGTGATCGGGCAAGGTGGACATGATCGAGACCTCGCGGCGGACGTCCTCGACGTCGACGGGGGTGCGGAGCTTGCGCTTGGAGATGGATTTGCAGGCGAAGGGCTGGTGGGATTCGCGGTCGGTGCAGAGGTAGGTGATGCCGAACTCGCCGCGGCCGAGCTCGCGGCCGAGGATGTATTTGTCGGTGATTTTGGTTTGGTGGCTTGTGGGGATCACGGGGTCTTTGAGGAGGGGGGCGCGGGTTCGAATCGGGGATCTGATGAAGTCGGAGGTGAAGGGGTTTAGTTTTCGGTTTTGGTTGGTTTTTTTCGGTTTGGGGTTTTCCGGGTCGGGAGGGCGGACACAGACGTTACAGTTTCCCATGATGGCTGAGTGAACAACTCAAAGCTGAATTGACTAAAAAGGTTAGATCTTTGTTTAAAACGACGCAGGGGAAGACGGTGGGGGTGAGAAAACGCGGGTTTGAGTGAAGAAAAGTCTGAGTCTTTCGAAATTTTGATGAATGTGAAGGGGATAACATAAGGGAGATTTTGATTGGCGTTTATATAGGAAAAAATGCATTTAATATTTGACGTGTTAACCTGAGATATTATTCTTTTATAACCATCGCATCTTCTTTCTTATAAAATAAAGAATGAATGTTGCTGTTATTTTTTAATTAATTTCTTATATTTTCCGATAATTTATTTGGATAGTTTATTTTCACAAAATAGTAAAAAATATCTAAAATATTCTTTTTTTGAATAAATGTAAAATTGTATTCATCCAAAATATTCTTTTATTAAAAGATAAATATGCATTTATATATTTAGGTTAATTAATCTAGATTTCGAATTTAGAGTTAAAGGATGAGATTTTGAATTTAGAATTTCAAATTTTTTAAATATATATATATATATATTTCAATTTTTTTCTAAAAGATTGATCATTTTATTTTAAAAAAAATAATATTTGTGTGATAAGAAACTTAAAAATATATATTTGAAAAAAATTGTCTTATTTCTTCTGGATGGGTTTATGTCCAAGCTTGTGACTCATATAATTAAGAAACTCTTTTCTTTTTCTTTAGTATTAAACTTATATTAGATTTAGCTTTTGCGTAATTGCGTCTATTGTTTCTCCTAATGGTAAAAGTAACACGAAGAAATCACTGAAGTTGTTTCACTTATGGAATATGAACTCTATAGTCAAGTTAATCGGTTATAAGTTTATAGAGATCATATTATAGTTTGTTTGACTAAATGAGATCATATAATAGTTCTAAGATTAACCTATGTCAGTGACAAAAAAAAAAAATTAACCTGTGATAATGGAATATTTGAATATGCAAATGGTAACCAACGACAACAGTTTAAGAAGATCAAAATTAAAATTATGGAATTACATTTATGCTATTGATTAATTATATATTTAGATTATAGTAGTTATAAGAAGAAGAAATAAACCAGTCATTATATTTTAAAGTATATCTTACCTTTTTGTGCATTTTAAGTATTTCTTACAAAAACATTATATTTTTAGTATTTTCAGTTAACTAGTCAAATAGACTGTAAAAAACAATTTGCATTATTTTGAAGTCAGAAAATAATTTTTTTTTGTATTTTTTTTGGCAATACATAGACCTGATATCCCCTCATATATAATTTATAACCTATATTCTGGACAGTATGAAATTGCCGACAAGAAAAAAAGATAAGAAAGAATTAGGTGAATAGACTTCGTCAATTATGAGGAATAGTTATTACGTTGTATAAATATAAAGTATTTTGTATCGTTCAGAATTCAGAAACCACAGTCTTCTTTACGAGTCAGTTGTCGATTTCATACTCGTTTTCTTTTTATTGGGTTTACACTGCGTAAAAGGTAATACCTTGTGAGGCCATAAAAATATATTAATATATATGTGTATTGTTATAGAATTTGTTGCTCATCCCCCACCATTTCTAACCACAATTTATATTTGAAGAATTTGTTTTTACCTTTTTGATGATGTTCTTTTACAATTTGATTCAAGATCTAAATTTTACAAGGAAATGAAATTTATGATTTCTTGTTAAATATAACTTAAGTGCTTTTGTTTGGACATGTGGGTGGATTAAGTATGTAGACGTTGAAGTGTTTTAAATTAAGCTATATAGTTTCGTGGATAGGATTTTATATGTTTTTTTTGTCAATGATTTGGACATTAATATGTGGTAGGTCAGAAAGAAGCGGTTTCAATTTATTGCGCAAGACCTTTTACCCTCCTATCGACGAATCTACTATAAAAAAACTCACACACTGAGACTATTATTCAGTTCTCTCAAAATGCTGTCGTCTCTAACAATGTGTTAATTTAGTATTTGTACAACATAGACTTAAAACTAAACCCAATATATATATAGCCTCAAAGCTGATTTCCTTTAATCCTTGAATTAAACTAGAAGGAATATGATGAACTTGCTTCTCATCGGCAACTTCAAAGATGACCTAGATAAAAAAGAAGGTCTTTCTTTGTTGATGAGAATGATTATGTTTGGGAATTGGGATGATGACTTCAACTCAAATGATTTTGCTGCATGTTGTTGCCCCATCTTTTTGCATGCAACTTCATATATTTTTTGACAACTGCATGCAACTTCATTAGCAGCCCCCAAAGTATGTTTCAACAGGACATACTTAGTTGATACACTAAAACACTAATCTAGTTTAAAATATATATATATATACACAAAAAACGCAAAAAAGAAAATTTATATATATATATATATAATCTAGTTTTTTTGTTTTTTTTACACATAAAAGAAAATTTATCTCTATATACACAAAAAAAAAAAGCAAATACACTAACTAACTAAAACTCTTCTCTATCTCCTATTTTCTCTTCCTATATTTTTCTACTTTCTCTCTCAAAATCTAATTTCTCATTTTTTTTGGTTAGTTGACAAATTAATGCACTCCATATAAAAATATATATATTATATTTTTCTTCTAAATATATTATTTTATGATCAACTATTTTTACAGCTTAAAACTAATAACATATCTAATTAGCATAATTATTTTAAAATTTTATTATTATTACATTATAAAAACAGATAGAAAATATAAAAATGTATCCTTTTTAAACAATTTTTTATTTAAATAATTTTGAATCTTCTGAAACCGGAAAAAGTATATGGAAAGTTCAATTATATTTTACTTCTTTAAATTAATTTCTACCTTGAAAGAAACAATCCATACTATTGTCAACAAAACTATGGTGAAGTAGTCATATTTTCGATTGTTGTTTGAACAAAGGTCTTGCAATAATACATTTGAGACTAAATTTCAACAAACCCATAAAATTATTAACTGTATGTCGAATATTATTTTTCATACAAAGTCAAATGCTTTCAAAAAGAAAAGAAAATGTTTAGACTTGCTCATTTATGCGTTACAGAAAAAAAAAGAGTTTCTCATTTACAACAGAAAAATAATGGGATATTGGACGAGTTAGAGAAGTCTAGTGTTGTATGAGGCACAGCAAGAGCACTTGTGATAGAGCCAGTGGTAAGGAACATTTCCCTTTCTCCCACAGTCATTACATAGTATTACCTGCAACCAACCAGCCATCCTTATGTTTAAACTTTGACGATTAATGGATGCTCCTGTGTATATGCAATTATGCATAATATTAAGAGAGAGAGAGGAACCTGAGTTTGGTTTAAGTATTCATCTGGCATCTTTTGTTCTGCGAGCAGTGCATCTAACATTCTAAAGTAAACCTGCATGAGACAATTCTTTAATCAGTGGATCAACTCAATGTTTGAACATTTGTCTCAATAAAGGGCCAGAAAAAAAAAAAGGAACATCATGGTGTCACTAACCTGCATATCCCCTAGTGACTTGCTGCAAACTGGGCATGTGTAATGTGAACATGTGTACTCCTACATCCAGAAACAGAACACACCCAAGTAAATATTATTTTGTTTATCAAAGACCCAAGTAAATATTGTAACATTCATAAATTTTCATAAAACATAAGAATTTAAGCACCTGAAAGCATGCTGAGTGCATCACATGACCACATGGAAGAGCCTTCACCGGAGAGTTCGAGGTAAAAATGTACTCGTGACAAATTGGGCAATTATCTTCTAAGCACTTTTCTCTGCATATATGTTCGACTATGGTCCGTGACATACAAGCATTGCATTTCATGCAATGGAAGTAGTCAATGCCCAATCCTTTGCCTACTCTGCAGAGATTACAATATGGACAATGATAGATTTCTCTGCAATAAAAACCTTTACTCGTTAAAAAAGTATCAATATCATGATTCATGTCTATTTTTGACCAAAAAAGTGAAAGAACATGAATAAACTGTTTACCAAGAAAAACATAAATAAACAGCATGCTAAAACTTTAGTTCAAACTTTAACATACAGCCGGGACCATAATTTTTTTTTTTTTTTTTTTAAACTGGCTGGGAGCCTGGGACCATAATATTTTTCTGCAAAGAATGCCTTTAAGATGATCACCTTTCTCAGTATGATCTACACTAGCCTTAACCCTTAATTTATTTAATACATTTTAGTGTAAACCAATAAGAAATGTTAACTAAATAGATGAGCAGTGAGGGGAAAAAAGCTATCCAGTTTCAGATATTTGCCATTGAAACTTTTTTTGGCTTTACTTATTATTTTAAAATAGGATACGTTGAGCATCCAAATAGAAATGCCCAAGGATAAAAATATTTTACCTTTCATCATCAAATAGTTTGCAGATTTTGCAGTAATATTTTCCCATTGAAGAATTGCAAGTAATATTTGAGCAGCTCGCACCTATTGGCTGAATAATCGTGCACTTCATACACATCATCTTTGTGACTTGTTTCCTATGCAAACATTTTTAAAATTAGGTGGACGAGATGTAAGAAGATTACTGATATTGTTTACATGAAGCAATAGACATGTAACTACCTATCTACTGAGTGATCAACCTCTTCATCATGGCACCGTATACATGTGAAAAGCTTGTTGCAGCAAGAAGCAAGAAGCTTGCAACTCCTCTTATAGTGTTTGCAACCAAAGATCCCCTTATGATTATCTCGATAAGATGGGTGCTGACCAGGAACTACTTCCATATTGTTTGAGAGAATGGATGGTTCAGGATTATGTATCCGCTGTGTGGCAATCCAACGGCTGAAAAAGTATACAACGAAGAACAACAACATATTTATATTTTCAAACAAAAGACAACTTAAAGTGATTTTTTGTACACATGCTCAAGATTTATTTTGATGGATATATAGTAGAGCTTACCTCATTAAGAAGTTTTGCATGATATATGATTTCTTCTGAGGATCCAAAGCAGAGTCACGAGAAATTCTTCTAACTGTAGCATCCACATCCTCTTGACTCATTGATAAAAGACACTCATATTTGTTGGCTTGATCAGGTTGGCTTATTTGGTAGGCTTGAGTGGAGTTTCTGAACTGGCAATCACTGTCAGCTTCTTCTTTATACATTCTCTCCTCAGCTCTTGTACATACCTTCTTGTTCTCTGAGATTTCTTTATGAATCTCCTCTTTGTTGCCAACTTCTGCCTTGCTATTAGGAGCAACCTTTTCAAGTGGCTTATTTATGCCATCTTTTAAACTTGTCTCTAAAACTTCCATAGGCTTGCTGCCAGTGTTCCCTCTTTCCTCATCAGCAGCTTCTTCAAAGAGATATTTCCAGACAGTGTCTAGTGGATCTGGATCCTCAGATGGAACTGTTTTTGTTTCCCCTGTTTCCTCCCCTACAACATGACTATTGTACCATTCCTTTAGCCATTCAGAAAACATTGTTTTCCTTGTCGCTTGACGCCACAAAGACATGACGGCATGTTGCTCATCAGGGATCAAAGATTCCATTAACCAGGGAATCATATTTTGCAATATTTCTGCACTCATTCTTCCAAGCATGGATGCTATGATTTTCTCTTGTTCTTCAATAGTGAAGCAGTTTCTGAACAAAGACCATAGCTCAGTTTCTTCCCGGTGGATATGCTCAAACAATAGCTTATGAATGGATTTACATACATCTTGGAGGCTCAAACATAACTTCTCATACTTCACATTCCTGTGGTCCACTACATTTGAATCCAGCATGCTGACTACCGCCATCTTATTCAGAAGGAATGATACCTTATTGAGGTGCTCAACTTCAAGTTCGTGATCAATACTGTATGACTGACTAATGTTTTGTAGTTTGCCCTTTGCCTCCAGGGCTGGAAATGCAATCTCATCCTCTGCATCTGAATGTATTTGATACAAGAACTTTATGAGATGAAACCGTTTATGAAACTCTCCAAGGAAGCTACTGTCTGATGCCAGTCGTGTTGAGCCACTTACAAGATAGTCTAGATTCTTCTTCATTGCCTTGTGGAACATGAAAAGTAGATCTATTGGTTTCAAGTCCATAGATAAGCGATCACCAATATTGTCACCAAGAAAACAAGGAGGCGGTTGAAGAGGCTTGAGGTTTCCTGGGATAAGCATTTGATGATTCATTGCACTTGAGTAAGGTGTCTCATTCATGTAACCAGGAGGTAACTCCATTGGCTGGAACCATGTTGATGACTTATCTTTGTTCCCTGGACATACAAGCAAAGAAGCTTCTTCAGTGTGTTCCTCTTTAGCGTGTTCCTCTTTAGTGGGACATCTCGGTTTGAACATAAAGGACAGCTCATCCCAGAAACTTGCAACTGATGTTTTGCCTGAATAGCCAAAACGAAACCACTGCAACAAGAGGTTTGCAAAAGGTTTATTGGGAAAGGAATCTTCCAAGCTTAAGCAGTTAATAATTGATTGTGATTCATCTTCTGACAACTGAGCAGAAAACCACATAATGACACACTTGAGCAATCCAAGAGGTAGGACATGAAGGCTCATGTATAGGAGCTGCCTCTGCATTTTAATGTTGCAGTTCTTGCTGATGATGGAGAATACCTGGAGGAATTAGTGTAATACTTTAGATGTCAAAAATTTCTGAGTAATAATCTCTTTCAATGTATGTAAACAGTTTACCTCTGCTTCCTCTAGAGAAAACTGTTGTAATACTATCAGTATAAGGGAATTCAGTTTATCCCGAAGAGTTATGACAAAGTTTTCACTCCCTGTTCTAGTTTCAATGTCTAGAGACCTCTTGAAATTTTCCACATGGCCATCTATGGTGAAGTTTTTAGAAGCACAAGAGTGTTGACCCACCATTTCTTCAAACACTGGATAAAAGAACTTCTTAAATGCATTGCTGCAAATGTGATGTCACCAGTTTCTTAGATGACAAGGAAACAAGACAAGTCCAAGAAACTACATACCATATCAAAGAAGAAGAAAAAAACTGTTATTACCCATAAAAGATGAGGACATCAGCAAGGAAGTTTAGCCGAACCACAAGCACATTGAGGTCCAATGAAAGGCTTGGAAACTTCAATTGGCATAGTATTTTTTGAATGTCTAACAAATCTCTTTTAATTGCTTTATGCAAGAGCTGAATACCATGAACCAGAGTGTGTCCTGTATTTGGACTAGAGAATGACATTTTACTCCACTGCCAAAAACGTTGAAACAACCAATTTGATGAATCTGCCTGATGAGATGAGTTACTCATATTTGCAGATTGTACTCCGTTCATGATCTTTGTAAGAACCGAAAAAGAAGAAGATCGGTTATCATCATCAATTAGCCAAGAGTTTATGACCTTCAAAAAATAATTTAACTCGTCTTACAAATACAAAAAAAAAATGAAGGAAAAATAGAGTCACATCTCAGTATATATTATATAGAGAGAGAATATACCAGCTGCAAAGAGAATTCCTTTGGGACAACTTGTTTAACGCAATTCTCAACTTCAGATCTCTCAATGGGAGAGAGTAAAGATGTCATCCATGGAAAAATTTCTTCAAGAACCATCACCGGAACACTACACATGAACTGCCACACTAGTGATGCTTGTTCTTCACATGAAAAGTTCTCAATTAACAAAGGAAATACCTGCATATTAAAGATAAGATAAACAAACACAAGCAAGAAGAATTAGAAGAAAACAATTTAATTGTGTGACAAGCTAAACTCATATACCTGCCGCTCTTCTTTAAGCATATGTTGACATATGAATGACTGAGTGGTACCAATACATAGTACAACTTCACGAAGAACATCTGAATTGCTCTCTCTTTCCTCTTCAAGAACATGTAGCCAGTTAAAAATTGAAGTGAAAAGATCTTCTGTGGAATCATGTTCAAGCGAATAATTAAAAGCAATGTTCTTCACACGTGTTTCGAGCGCTGAAAAGATGACCTGTTAGTAAACAAACATATCAAAAGTTACATAAGTGATTGTTGTAATAAAACTATGTTTACTCGTTGACTTTTTTAGCTTTGTGATGGTTTAATCTTTAGTTTTGCTGGTTCTGACATGAAAGAAAAGCATAGAATCTATAACCAGCCACGATTATATGAGATGATGACGATTATTTATTTGTTTATACAAACATGAATCATTAGCACCTAAAGCTTTTAGTTTTTTTTTTTTTTTGAAAATTTAGTTTTGCCAAGTTCTTGAAACAGCTTTAGAATCTTGAGAAATATTCTAACCTCATCTTCAGCTGCAGAATGGTACTTATAAACAAGCTTCAGAAAATCAAACTTACGGCGGAGCTCCACCGCTAGATAGGAACCGGTCTTGACCCTATCACCGGCGAGACGGTGGAGCTCCGCCAGCTGTGCACGGAAAGCCTTGTGGAAGTAAACGAACAAGAGAATAGGAGAATCGGACAACCGAGCATTCACGACGGAAACCGCCGAAGAAGAAGAAGAAGTCGACGCTATATTCGGCGGTTTTTTATTCTCCGGTCGGTTCTTGGCCGACGGAAGTGGAACTCCGATTCCCATCCACCACCACCATGAACAGAAGAGGAGAGGGAGGAGAAAGAAGAGGAAGGAAACGCGTTGACGATGAGAGAATGTAATTTAAAGGCTTGTTCATCGTCGTCGTCAAGCTCTCTCTCTCTCTGCTGTAGCTTGAGGATTAGTTAATTATTATTTTAAGGGTTTAGAGAGTTTTAAAATATTCGAAGTGATGGAGACGTTAGAAAATTGAACAACCAAGAAGGCCTTTATCATGATGATACTACTTCTGGCGGGATTATTTACTTGTCCCCATGTGACCAACCTATTATCTTATTGTCGTTTGCTATATTTTTTTTTCTCACTTGTAATTTTATTTGCCTTGATAAGCATTATTTTAAGGTAAATGTTAATAATATAATGGGGAATTGGACTGTATGACAAGAAAAAAAAGCATAATTGGATAAATAGCCAAAGACCCCACGTTTTCTATACATACATTTCATTTTATGTAATAATGTTGTTTTGTCCCTAAAATCAACCGGTACAACTTGTTGGAAAGAAAATTAAAAAAAAAATTATTAATTGCCTACAAATAACTTGTGGCGTTTTGTTGAACTACATCATCTATTTCTTTGTAGGTATATACTATTTATGCATATAGAATAGAAATTTTAAAAGTTTGTTACTATGCTATTTAACATATACTATACTATGTATTTTGTTTCATTATATTTTTTTTTTGAAAGAAAAAATGTGTGGCTGCTGGGATTCGAGCCCAGGTCTCCACGGCCACAACGTGGAATTCTCACCACTAAACTACAGCCACTTTGTTTTTGTTTCATTATATTTATCGTTCTACTTGATGATTAATAAAAAATATTCTATTTTACTTACCAATATGTACTATTCTATGTATTTTGTTCCATTGTATTTGGATTTATGGTCTATATTTGGGTTTAGGATTTAGTGATAAGGATTTAGGGTTTAGTATTTGGAAAGTGGGGGTTGAAGTTTGGGTTTACTGATCCTATCATGTATTGTTCTATTTTATGACTAATAAAAAGTGTTCTATTTTGCTTACCAATATGTATTATTCTATGTATTTTGTTCCATTCTATTTGGGTTTATGGTTTATTTTGGTTTAGGGTTTAGTGATAAGAATTTTGGGTTTAGTATTTGAAAGGTGGGGATTGAGATTTGGGTTTAGTGATAGCAGTGATAAAATAATATGTTTTGTGGTAATTACGTAAAGTTATAATTTTATACTATTTAATGATATGGAATAGAACATCCAACACATATATATGTGGTCAGTAAACGTATATGTGGATATGTACTAGGTTATTTCGTATATTACTATTCTATTTTAATATTTTTCATATTATGTACTATATGCATTACTTCTTTCTTTTTAATCATAGATATTTCAATATTCTAATAATATGTAATGTGCTATTCTATTCATTACTATATATTTTATTTAATAATGCTTCATATTAGGTAGTCTATCAATATGTGATAGTCAATATGCCACCAAATAAACGACGTCACCTACTATCTCACTTTAACTGGAAACTTTTTATGTATAAGGATAAAACCGGATGATTTGAGACACAAATGCGTGATAGTGAATTATGTCAACATCATTGTCACTCACCTAATTTCTCTTTCAAATATGGCTATTACACAAATTAGCCCTAATATAATTTTGGAAGTTTGAGTCATTTCATTTTGTCTATTGGTTTCAGTATTGTGCACAGAGACATGAAAGATTTTTCGTCTTTCATGTTGACGTGGATAAATATGCATAGTTGAGTTATTACATACAGACAGAAACAAAACTGACGTTTCATTGATTGAATGAGTCAGGACGTGTCTCTGTTAACTGGTCTCATGCATCTGTCTCCGTTAGTTAAAAAGCCGTTTAGTTAATCTCCCCTCCCCCGTTCCGTATGCTCTCTCCACACGTGCCATCATGTGGCCGCAGCGTGGCAACACGTGTCCCCTTGTATATCGGCCTATAAATTTGAAAAATTCGGCCTTAAGTTTAAATGGTCCAAGGCCCAATAATGGATTAAAACAAAGAGAGTAGATTTGCTCAAATCTATACTATTAAATCAGATGACTGTTTATGAATCTGCCCTGATTTTTTAAGGAAATTACAAAACATTTCACTTTCTTTTATTTTTAATGAAAATCATCCATTAAAAGCCCAACTGAAAATCGCCAATTAAAAGTCCAACTAAAAATCGCCAATTAAAAGCCCAATAATTTTAATATTTATTTACAACGAAATGAGTTCAAATCTATACAAAAAATATATATTTGTAAGTTTACAAATTTATCAACAGAAGTAGGTCTGAGTATTTGACACAGACCCGAACAAGAACCGACACGAAAATATAGATCCAGGTCCGGGTTCGGATCATTGCTAGAGTATCTGTTGGGTATTTTTTGTTTGGATCCGCAGGTCTCGGTTCGTCCGGGTCCTACTAGAAACCCGATCGGGTATTCTAAGTATCCACAAATTATGGTATATATTAGGTATATTTAGGTGATTGGGTATATTTTTGATAATTCAGGTATTTTTTAAAGTTTCAGATTTGGATTTTCGAATATAATATTAGGTTTTAGGTAAACTTTTAGATTTCAAAAAATATAATTCGGGTATCGGGACAAAATTCCGGGTATATTTTAGATTTTTTGGGTCTGATTTTGGATAATATTTCGGATTTTTTTGCGGTTCTTCGAGCCTTTTTTAGAGTTTTCAGGTTTTGTGATCCAGTTTGGGTCCTTCGGATCCTTTTCGGGTCCTAAATACCTGAACCGACCCGATAATATACCCGAACCAACAAATCTGACAAGACCCGATCTGAAATCGACCCGAAAAATTATAGATACTTATATGGGTCCTAATTTCTAAGACCCGAAAGACATGGACCCGACAAAACCCGATCCAGACCCGACTCGAAGATCCGGATACTCAGAATTAAACAATATATTACCCGCGCTTTGAAAGCGCGGGTCAAAATCTAGTTTAGATATAAAAAAGAAAAATATCAATTTAGGCTAAGAGGTAGCCCTTTTTCATATTCTCCGGCTTAAACGACGGCGGATGATGGAGGAGAAGATTATGGTTCTTTTTTTTTTTTTTTTGGTTTTTTTTTTGTTCTAGTAAGTTAATTTAGTGTATATGGAGTATAGATGGAGTTTAGTTGTGTCACTTGTGTGACATAAATGAAGTATCAGTTGTAAGGACCAGAGTCATCATGACTCAGGATCTTAGTTAATATGCTTGGACCTTACAAAGAAAGATCATTAATGACCATCCTTGCCCATTTACTTCACATGTTTAACCATGTAGACTTTTAATGGGTTACTTCAGTTGGTAGTTGTCAACGCTAATCATATACTTTTTGTTGAACTCAAACATCAAAAACTTTCATTAAATTATTTTAAGAAAGGATATCAGTATTTACAGAAAATTACATAATTGAAGCTTACATCATAACTCTAAAATCCTCTTTTTTTTTTGGATTAATATAAAAACGATAGACATATATCGATAGAGAGAGAGCCCTAGATCTGTTTACCCCCTTTTTTTTGCTCTTCCTCTCCTCTTCTCTCGTGTCTCACTCGCTGAGAGTCGTTTTCTCTGATATTTGACAATTATTTTTACTACCATCTTTTAAATCCCTCATCCTCCTTCTCTCCAGAAAAGAGAACACAAAACGACAACGTTTAACCAAACACCACTCGACTCTTTCGGACATCCTCTTCCTTGTCTTCTGTGTTTAACAGATTTAGATTTTTCCCACACAATGCCCTAAAAAAAAATATCTCAAATCAACATCTCTTTTCAAAAAACAAAAAACCCTAATTTCAATCTCTTTCTCTTTGATCTCTCAATCCTCTTGATAATGGCTTCCTCCTCCATCCCCGTCGCTAACCACCACTCTCCCTCCTCCGACGACGCTTCTCCGGCCCCTGAAACCAAAAATCCCTCGGAAGATCCCACTTCGCTGAGGAGAACGAGGCCTTCACGCGCCTGCACTGTCAGGGCGCAGCAGCGGCTCCAAGAGCAGCAAGCTGCGGAGAGAAAGGTCAGGCCTTTGAAGAAGGAGTTTAAACGTGAGGTTGAGGAAGAAGAAGATGATGATGATGAGGACGAGGAAGAGGAAGAGGAAGATGAGAATCCACGGCAATGCGTTGGAGGAGGAGGGAGTTTAGGCAAAAGCAAAATAGTTACTTCACTCGTTCAGCCACCGGAGGCTTCGCAGATGCCGCGGTGGAATCTTAGGTCTATGTGGGAACTTGCTTCCGTCCTCAACTTCTTGCATGTTAGCTTTCCCTCTGTTTTCTATTATTCAGTTGTTTTGCTTCTTTTAGCTGTCAATGAGTAAGTAACTCACTCACTGACTCTCAAAGTTTGTTTTTTTTTGGTTGGATGGTGAAGGTTTTTAGGCCGCTTTTGAAGATCAATGCGGAGTTTTCAGCTGAGGAGTTTGAGACGGCTTTGCTCAATCCTAACGATACTTTGAGTGACATTCATATTCCTCTGTTAAAGGTTGGTGCTTTGGCTATCTATTCTTGTCTTCTTTAAGCTACTTATTGATGCTTTCCTAAGTCTTGTTTGTGTCACTGTTAACTTCAATGTACTTCCGAGAGTTTGCCTCATTGACATGAACAGGTCATACCACCGTGCTTCTGGGTCACATTCTATTAAAAGGCTTAGTTTTTAAATGTTTTTGGGTAGCTTCCCTCGATGACACCTTATAGACTTGTGCTACTCTGTACAGGATCACTTATTTTCTCTGAAATGCTTTCTGGAGTTATTTTAGAGTTTCTTGATTGAATTCTTTGATCGTTTTCATGAATGATATCATGGTTTGTATTTGTTGTAGTTCATGTGGATGATTTGGAATATAATCTTTGCTATTATGAATGTCAAAATTGCTTAGCCGTTTACCACTTTTTTTTCGTTTCAACTTGCAGGCCATTCCTCCTGCAACGAGAACGGCCCTCACACGTGATACCTGGGTCACTGTCTTGTGCAGGAAAATTAGAGATTGCTGGCATTGGGTAATGATTGCTAAACATCTTTGATCTGATATTACAAGTACACTTTTTGCATTTTGTAGTGTTCTTGACATGTACTTCACCTACTTGTTTAGTTCGCCGAAGGGGACCTTCCTATTATTGCCTCGCAAGGGTGAGTTGTTATCATTTTCTGAATCTCATGGTAACTGATTGGGAAGCATTTTATGAGCTTCTCGTCTCAATCTTGTAGGCGGGAGATTGAAGTATACAAATCTCTTGATCCAGCCATTCGTGTGGTGATTTTGAAAGCTTTATGTGATATTCGTGTTGAGGTATTGTTGCTGTTGTATGCTAATCTGTTTGCAGTGAAAGTCAACTTTCGGTATGTTATCATTGTTCACTTTATGATGTTCATTTCCACAGCAAGATGATATCAGGAGCTACATTGACAACTCCCTTAAAACTGGTGTTCATTTGTCAGCTTTTCGTAAAGATCGCGTTGGGGGTGATTCACATGGAGTTAATTTTTGGTATGTGACAATTACAAAAGACATGAATAGAACTCTCTTGTTTGCATATTTATGATAGCATCGTTTGTTTCTTTTCAAAGGTATGAGGATGATCCCTTAGTTGGTCACCGTTTATATCGGGAAATAAGGAAGGTAGAGGTGGCCAAGGTCAAAACGAAGGGTTCCAAGATTCTTCCTAACGTAACATACCAATGGGAAACTGTTGCCACTAATTTTGATGAATTCCAAGATGTTTCTGTAAGTCTCTACTACAATCAATTATTCTGAATTGCCAGATAAATTTCGTAGGGTAATTACATATGACTGTAATTAATTATCGCGGTGGAGTATGGTTGTTTTCATTGCTTAGAATCAAGTTAGAGATAATAGCATTGTGAAGAACTGGCCTAAAGGGCCCATGTGCAAGTTGAGTCTATTGTATTGTAGATACATAGGTGGATATTCAATGACTTAGTACTATGGTTTGTGTGTTTTAGTGAATCTAGTATATTTCTTTCCGAGGGATGTCCCCTTGCAGTTGCTTATAGTGTTTAACAAGGAGAACATAAACAAATTTACACTGTGGATCCCTTTCAATTCTTTAGTGACTTATTTCATGGAGTGGAGATCCTATGCTCGTTTTGACTGTCAGTTAATGCTTGCTTCTCTTAAGGATGAAGCTATTACAATCGACAAGAGGTATAACCTTTGTATGTTGCTGATTGAAATGCTCGTCTTTGTTTTGCAGGAGAAACTTAATTCAAGCAGTAGTAGAATTGAGGTTTCTCTAGGGAAGAAGTTAACGAGAGATATGCTTCCCGAGATAGAAAAAGAACACAAGGTTCCGATTTGCTCTCTGCTTTTCCCTTTTTTTATTTATGTTTTCAATTTGGTTACAGTAGAATACAACGTTACTTCTGAACTCACATTTGTGGCGGAATAATTCCTTTATCAATTGCATCCTTTTATAATTGATTCTTTTTTTCTTTGACAGAGGAAAGAAAAATTATTGAAAAAGCAACATAGACAGGCTCTTCTCCTTGATAACTATTTAGTTGTTGACGGTCTTGGTGCTGGCCGTTCTCTCCGTGACAGGAAGCGAGTTAGATACACTTTTGGTAAGGTTATGACCTTGTTGGGAGTTCATGATATCCAGCTTGATTTTTACTAATAGTTAAATGTTATTGCAGATGATTATGATAGGTCGATAAATGAAGCTATCAAGATAACAAAGTACGTCTGAGTGTAGCTTGCATTGAAGCATCTCTGCTTATATTTTTCTTTAACATGTTATTTGGTGACTTTTATCTATTTCTTCTTACATTTCACTTGATTTGATAACACCGTCTCAGGAAGAAACATCCATCACTAGAAGAACCTTTTCTCCACAGAAGAGAATCAGCCAGATTGGACGCTCTTGCGAATGGCACTTCGACAAGTTCAACCCACCCTACTGAGCCTGTGAACGATACAGCATCTGCAGGATCTTCTGATTTTGCTGACTCTGATGAGTTCGATGAGCAGAGAGATGAATCCATGGACAGAAGGCAAGAGACAGTGTATTTTTCTTTTTTCCTTTAAGTTTCCCACCATATCTTTACGAAATTAAATTCTTACTAACTGAGTATAATGTCCTGACAGTAACAGGCGCAGACAACGGCCCCAGAGGTATTCAGCTACGGACTTTGTTGAAACTGTTTCAGACAATGATGCAGAAATTGAAAGCGATGATGACATTGTTGGGGAAGCAGTTTATGATGAAGAATATCTGAAGAAGCGTAAACAGAAGAAGTTATCTAGTGGTTCTGAGGGAGAGGAAGAGAATGGAGATGAAGAGTACAAATGGGATGAAGACAATGCCGAGTACGAGGAGGAGGAAGAAGAAGAAGATGAAGATTCCTTAAGTGGTAGCGAAGAAGATAGTGATGAACCCCGGAGAGGTAAGAAAATGCCACGGAGAGAAGCTAAGTCAAGATCAAGGTCAAGGTCAAATAATTTCCAGCCAGGCCTGAGACGTAGTAAAAGAGCCACAAGAATCGATTACCAACAATATGAGCTCTCAGAGTCAGACAAAGAAGCACCAGGAGCGGCTAAACGTAAACGATTGGTTGAGCCAGATGAACATTCTGATGAATCAGGGAATGGGAATTTCACAATGGGAAGTGAGGGCTCGGAAGAAAATGCAAATGACCCTGAAACAGAATCTGCTGAAGAGGAAGAAGAGCCCAGAGAGGTCAATGACAATGCAGAGAAAACTAATGGTACAGAGAATAATATTCAACTGAACAAATCAAACGGCACAGACCAAGAAGAAGTTGAGGGTGTAGTAGGCAAAAGGCATTACCTCGATTTAAACGAGCTTGCTCCTGTTTCTGGTTTTGATGATGGTCCAAGTACAGCTTTGAAGGATGATGATAAGACAGACAATCTATAAACAAGACATAGAGACTTCTCTTTGCCGTCTTAAAGCTCCCTCTGGTCAATCACCATTGTTGTATGATAAGCAAGATTTTTACGAGTTATATCTGGCAGAAACCCCTTCCAGAGAAGTTGAACGGTAATCTGCATTCAAGCATATATCTGCCTTGTTGTTCTTAAGTTATTCAGGCAAACTCGGCTGATAAGTGAAGTGGAGAATGTTGGAGAGGCCTAAGAAAAGTATGTGTAGATTAGTTTAGTCATTTTTTTTCTTACCCTGAAAAGGAAACAATGAAGAGGGTGAACCAGAGATTCCTAAGAGCTGTTGGTTATGGAGTGTTATTATTAGTGTACACTTAACTTTTGTATTAACCTTATAAACACGTTCATGGTCTCTTAGATTTTGGTAAAACTACGCAGCTTTGAGACTTTGTTGAATGGAGTGATCCTTTTTAAAAGATGTGAATCTCTTTTTATATGATTGTTTGCAACTTGGGATTATTCGTGTAAGAAACAGAACATGAAAACTCTGTTCTTATGGTTCACGTTCGAGCAACTTGACTCAAACCAATTATCTGGAAGTTTGAAAGTATAATTGAATACCATACGTTGACAACGTAGGAAGTTTTGACAATTGAATTAATTAGCTGTTTCGAATTTAAACTGTATAATTGGTTTATGAAATTAGTTAAATACCATATGTTGACAATACCCTCTATGATTGTTAAGAGAGGCTTTTCAGTAATATTCAAGAACAAGACAACTTGCTAGAGAATGAGTGATTGAGTTCAATGAGTCGTTTTCAGTGGCTGGTCCATCGAATTGCGAAGTAGTTGCTCAAATCACAACCAAATGAAAATGTTCACAAAAAGATTATAATAGAGAGAAGAAAAAAGAGAAACATAAACCTTATTAATGTTAGTTCATTTTTGGTCAAGAAGTCCTATTAATGTTTAATTTCAGATTTTTTGTCTGAAAAAAAAGTTTAGTTGTTTTTGCTTAAATATGGAAAAAAAAGTTTAGTTTCATATTTTTTTTCTTAAAATATTATTACAGACAAGTAAGTGTACACGATTATTGCTATAAATAGAATTGAGAAATATACTTTCAAAGAACACAAATAAGAAAATCCTATTGACAAAATAAATCCTAGTAATGTTTTGTATAGTTTTTGGTCAAGAAATACGTTTCTTAACTATTATTACACACAAATGTATACCAATATTGCAATAAAATAGAATTGAGAAATATCATTTCAGAAAAAAAAACACAAATCAAAAGACTCAAACAGCAAACTTGGACTTCAAATTGTTCACAGTTGCATCATCAGTCCTAAACGCTTTAGTCAAAACAGCGTTTGGAATCCCAGGCATAGAACCAAACAGAGTACTAGGCAGAACAGCCGATCCTGGAAGCTGACTGTTAAACGACGTTATCAAACGTGCTTTCCCTTTACCAACGTTCCATTGGAAATGAACCAATCCTCTAGGGACAACAAACATCTCTCCGGCATGTATAACCTTCGAGAAAAAAGTGTTGTTCGTTGTCAAGAACCCGACAAACACAGAGCCTTCGATCACAACCCCAGCTTCTGTTGCACGAGGGTGAGAGTGAGGAGGGTTCACACCGCCCGGTGCGAACTCAACGTTGTTCATAGAGAGTCCTAAAGTGTTTAGACCTGGAAAGGTCAGGACGTTGGCGGCGGCCACGGCTACTCCGTTTGAGTTTGAGGTGTTTAGAGCAACAGCTAAGCCGGAGAAGAAGAAGTCAGAAGATGAGACTGATGACTTGCAAGGGAAGCCATTGATGGAAGGAGAGGCTTTGAGGTCGCCAACGCAGAGGTCTTGTAAAGGGTCAGAGTCAGATGAGAGAGATGGGATTACGAAGAGGGAGAGAGTTAGGAGGAATGAGATGGAGAGAGAAGCCATGGCTTTTGAGAATGATGAAACAGGGGATCCTCTGTTTTGTATATATATATAGTGGTATCTTTGGAAAAAAACTATTTGACTTGTTCTCATTTTTAGTTTGTTTAAATATTTTACTCTGTTTCTTGCTATTGATTTGGTCTTAAGAAGCAATCGAAAAGACAAGAAATGTGCAGAATATTTCAAAGTTAATGGCTTAACTGTCTTTGACTTCTGTTAATCAGTAAAGATTCATGGCTTAATCATAAAAAAACATCATGATTTCATGACTTAAGCTCTGTCTCTAAGAATAAAAGATTCATTTTTAGTACGCAGTTGAAAATGAGTGGTTGAAGTTCAAGATTTTTTCATAAATAAATTAGTTGGTATTTGGTAAGAATTTAAATAGTTTATGTTTAATATTTTTTTGGCCTGGACAAGTCTATATGGGTTTGTTAAACTGACTTTTCATATATTTTTTTTTTTAGTTAGGAAGACACAATGACTATTCTTTAAATTTTTAAGTTTCAGTAAATATTATAAGAAAGATTTAACAAAGTTCTCAAAAACAAAGTCAGGATTGAACTTGACGTAAGACACAAGGCAGGTAAAAAACTTTGCTTGTTCTGTTTTAAAAATTCCAGGATGAGTTACATACAGATTTGATACAAGGATGTTGTTTTAATTTCTTGTGATGAATTAAGTATAAACATTCATGATTCTGATGGCATTTCAATGAAACTACGAAGCATATGGAGATTCTGAGATATCTGTAATAAGATTGCTTCTCCTTCACTAACATCTAAAACTTCTGAAATGTGCTGCAACAATTCACCTTTTGATTCAATCTCATTTAGTCTCTCTGTTATCTCTGAGATCTCCTTCACTAACATATCTTTTCTGCTTCCCTTCTCTGTAACAACATCAAAAGAAAATTCAAGACAATTGTTTGCAAATACAACCTTAAAGAAACACATAACCAATGAATCTCTAACCTTTTACTTCCTCTATAGTCCCATCATTGTTGGCCTTAGTCTCTTCACCTGAATCTTTCTTGTGTTCCAAGTCTTGCTCATTGTTAGCTTTAGTCTCTTCACCTAAATCTTTCTTGTGTTCCAAGTCTTGCTCATTGTTAGCTTTAGTCTCTTCACCTGAATCTTTCTTGTGTTCCAAGTCTTGCTCATGGTTTGAAGAACAAACTGGCAAATCCAAAACCGGTTTAGTTTCATGGTTTTCTTCATCAAGAAACTCTTCTGCTTCTCCTTCTTTGCCGTCTTGTTGTTGTTGTTGCTCTTCTTCTTCTATCAACATTCCATATCTCAATCTATAAGCCTCAATTTCAGCTTCAAGTTCTTTCATATCCTCTTCTCTCTTAACCAACAAACCACTCATAGACTGCAACGCTTCCTGATCATACTCCGCTTGCTCATCCATCATTCTCTGATACTGCAACGCCTCCATCTGAACCGCAGCTTTCTCCGCTTGAAGCCTAGTGATCATAGCCATTGCATTGTTCGCTGCAACAGCTGAAGCACTCCTCTCTTCATCCAACTCCATATACAAATCCATCAACGACTTCCTGTCCAACCTAACCTGCCTGTTTAGATGATGAAGTATCGAATCTCCATCCAACACTTCGGTGTCAGGACCATTCTGATCCAACACAGACTTCTTCATAGACCTAACAGACCAACGTGGACTGTTCTGAGCTGAATCAGAAAAGAATCTATTGCTCCCTCCTCTTACAAAACTCGGTGTTCTATCAAGTGTGTTGTTGGTGTTAACAACATCTTCTTCCTCAGGCAAGTTTGCAAAATCCATAGTTCTTTGGTTGAATGAGACTCTAGGAGAAGGGCTTGGAGCAGCAAAGAAAGATCTGTTATTATTATTATTATTATTATTACTATTCGGTTTCTCTGTTTTTATCTTTAACAACTCTCCACAACAAGAACAACGTTGCTGCTGTTCTTGAAACCTGTTGTTACCTTTGTATTGATCAAGCTTCGGACCTGTAACTGGAAACGCCTTCTGATGCTCATCGTCGATAAGAAGCTCAAGATCCTTATGTAAGATACCAATAAGAGACTTGTAGGTGTCAACATCTGTTTCTTTCTCTGTTGCGAAAGAGAGGAGACATCCTTCACACATTCTTTTGATCTCCGAGAGTTTCTTGTGGACATGACAGTAAGCTAAAGAAGAGACGTTCTTTTTGTGAGAGTCGCAGATGGAGTCGTTGTAATAGAAATCAGGGTTCGTTGGGACAAGAACATGGTCGAGTCTTGTGCAGAGGAGACAAGGGGTTTTGAGGTGGAAGAGTTTGGAGAATTGGTTAGAGGAGAAGGCGAGGAAGCCGTCTAGGAAGAGGAGGATGATGATGATCCATTCGAGGATGGCGTAGATGAAGAAGTGTGGGAATGTTCCAAGTTCGTCTTCTATGAAGTTCTTGAAGGAACGGTTAGACATTGATGATCACCGATGATAGAAGGTTATCATGAAGATTGAAAAAATGGTGGCAAAAGAAAAAGCAAAAACAGAGGTTATGTTATGATCTTTCTTATTTATTTTTCTATTTTTGGAATGTAAAAGATTTGAATTAAGGTTGAAGACCCAAAATACCTGAAATAACGGTTAATCGTAGATAAGAATGGACTATATGTTAGTGCATTTTTGGATATATTTTTTTCAGAGATAGTATCCACTAATGGGGTCTTAATGGTTATCGCTGATCATCCATTTAAAGCACAGATTAGAATTATTTACACCTAGGATTCTAGGGAAATTAAGAAAACAAGAAGTCATGAAACTGGCAACACTACAATATTATGGCATTAAAGGTTATGTGACGAACCACATACATACATTTGGTTTTGATTTTTATTACTATAATATTAACATTTGTGGTATTTCAAATAATAGTTCGGATATTTGATTTTAATTGATTTCTCGAATTATTTATATTTTTGAATTTTTGGATAACCCGCCTGAATTTTTTTAGTTCTGATACATTTTATAATACCCCACATATATAATTTGGATCAAATGAAAGTTCAAATTTTCTGCTAGGGTTCAGTTCAGATTTCGAGTTTTGACTAGGCTTAACAACATATTCTTGCTCGGGAAACTTTGAAGTGTAATGCTCTCAAGAACCTTCCTCAGTGGGTACATTATTCTATTAAAGTACACGAGCTAGCTTACTTTCCACGAGATATTCATTAGATTAGAATAATTTTTAATCTTCCAGATATAAAGGTTCCAGGAGATTGTTGAAGATTAGAAAAGAAACATTAAAAAAAAGAATTAAGAAGCAAATCAAAAGAAGTCTTGTTGTTCAAGAACACAAGGTTTGACCATAAGAATACGCTATGAAATGTATATATAAACACAACAGAGAAAACGAGAGACAATCACAACATAAACTTGAAATCAATTTTCACTCTGATTATACACAAAAAAACAATTCGTTTCTGTTTGAGAGCTTTTTTTTAAAAGAGGACATATAATGAACGGAGTATCATGGGCTGATCAATGGGATAATGATTCTGCCAAAGGAGGCCGCGTAGGTGGCGGGGCGGTCGCAAGAAGCAGTGGAAGTGGACCTGCGTCTAATAATAAGTACAAGGAGAAATTGGGACAAGGGCTAGACAAGACGAAAGGTGTAGCTTCTTCTGGTTTTAAGAAGCTAAAGACAGGTTCTGCCATTGGTTTCCGTTGGGTCAAGGACAAGTACCACAAAACCACAAACAAACATTAAACATCTATTCTATATTCACTTGAACAAGAATATTGTATGTTTGATGTATATTTTTAGCTTATTTGATTTTAGTAATGTTTTATGCACGGTGGTCGATTGTATAATACAATTTGTATTTAGTTGTGATTTGTGAAGACTCGTATAAGTATATTCACGTCCTTTAATTAAATTGATTTCTTATAAACGACAACGTAAATCTTATACTACTTCAAATGTAAAAAAATAAGAAAAAGTTCACTCGTTTTCTTCTCATCTGGGCCATTTTAATCCCTAAATAACCAGCCAAAACCGCCTCCAAAAACCGAGGCAATGAAGGAGGAAAAGAAAAGGAAGGAAAAGGAGCTATAGCTACATCTATGTCGCCTCCAAAAAACAGTGTCTCCAGTTAATACTCAAAAAAGCGTAGGGAGGATGTATCATGTATGAAGCGGTGGCAGTAGCCCTAGAGGCGAAGTTCCTCTTCGCAAGATGATGAGAGCAGAAACATGAGACAAAAGACTGGAGAAAAGATTGTCTTGAGTCTCTTGACAATTTGCAAGATGTTGTTATTTACCATTTTGTTATAAAGTTGTCTTGAGTCTCTTGACAATTCGGTTGGTAAATACTAATACTCAAAGATACTGACTCTTTTTCTTGTTTCTTTGTTGGCATAGCTTTTACCATTCTCAGAGAAGAAATTAAAGCAGCTGAATCAGATTGATGATTGATGATGTTACTTAATTCACAAGTAATCCTCCAACGTCCCCTATCATCATCAAATACATGTTATCTATATGGAAAAGGAATGGTTGATTAGAGAAATTAGCTGAACTAGTAATATTTTATAGATTACAAATTATCAAGCTTATAGACTAATAAAAAAAAACTTATTTTGGTAGTTAATTTAGATTCCTTCACGCACTTGTTTTCTCAGTTGATTTCTCTCTATTGAAATTTTTGGATTCCATTTGGTCTTAGAACATAGAGAAACAAAACAGTATCTACCTGTTTTTTCAGATTCATGTTGTATAAGTCAAATTATTGATTATTGAGGGTCTTGCTTCAGGAGAATTTGAAGAAGCTTCCTCAATGGTTACATGATTCTATAAAGATATACGAGTTTTAGACTATTTTCCACGAGAGATTCTTTCTCTTAGAATAATGTTTTATCTTCCAGCTAAGGTTCCAGAAGTTGTTGACGATTAGAAAGGAAATAAACTAAAGAAGCAAATCAAAAGAAGTCTTTGTTCACGTACACAAGGTTTGACCGCAGAAACACGGTCTTTTAACGTATGAGATGACGAGAATGTGTTTATATATAAAAGCACATCAAAGAAAACCAGAGGCAATCACAAAACAAACTTGAAAGCAATATTCACTTTGATTCCATACAAAAACCAAATCGTAAGCTTTTGTAAGACATATAATGAACGGAACATCGTGGGCTGACCAGTGGGACAACTCTGCCAAAGGAGGCCGCATAGGGGGCGGCGCCGTTGTAGGAAGCAGCGGAGGTGGAGCTACTTCAAACACTGCTAAGTACAAGGAGAAACTGGGACAAGGGCTAGGCAAGACGAAAGCTGTAGCTTCTTCTGGTTTTAAGAAGCTCAAGACAGGCTCTGCCCTTGGTTTCCGTTGGGTCAAGGACAAGTATCACAAAACCACAAACAAACATTAAACATCTAGTATATTGTAAAATTCTTCACTTTGTCCAATAATATGTTTGATGTATAATTTTTTTTTTTAGGTTTTTTGATTTTAATGTTTAACTAGATTTTGACCCGCGCAACCGCGCGGGTGTTTATTTGCGTTTATAGTTAGTTATATAAATATTTTGTTTTTACTTGTAAATTGGTATATATTATAGTAACCACATATTTACCATATGTATAGTAAATGTTTTTCAAACATAATAATATTATATAATAAGTGTTTTAATCAAATAGGTTGTTCAAATTTTCTATGTTATACATGTTTTTCAAACATGTGTTTGTTTCTTCTTCTATATTTTATTGTTTGTTAGATTAGTATTTCATTTTTAGATAAAAGTAATATAAATAGAACTTGATTAAATATTAGTATACTTTAATTTGCAAAGATAATATAAACTTCAAAGAATGTTTTTTTAAAAACTACACTTATAGCTTCATAAATTAATATTATAAAGAATTTTATTAAAAGAATTTTTTAAACAATTTTTTTTAAACAATATAATTTTAAAAATTTACATCGAAATAAATTTATTTAATATATATAGCGTGTAAATTTTGTTAGGGTATATAAATATTCCATATTAATAATCTGTGATTTTTGTTAATATATTGTGGATGCATTTAACTATTATTGACATATTTCTTTATAAATAATAGAAGATTCCTAAACTTATATCTATTGACATATTTTGCGTGACTAAGTTGGAAGGTGTGGGGTAATTTACCAAAACCAAATTATAAATATGATTTTTCATAAGATATAATAATGATAAGATTATTAGAGAGTTAATATATGAAACATAAATTTCTAGTAATAGTCCATTTTTTAAAAAATCACACATGAAGTCAAGTCATGACTTCTGTTTTAATATATAAGATGAAGACTTGTATCCATGGGCTTTAATTAAATTGATTTTTATGTAATACTCCTTTTTCAATACGTTGTATATTTTAAAATTTTCACATATACTAATAAAATATATCATAAATACATATTTTTGTGATTATTTTTTTATAAATATAAACCAATAAAAACTATTAAATGCAATTAAGTTTTTTGAAATCTGAAATTAATTATTATTAATTGACAAAAGATACATTAAAAATAGAAAATTTTAAAACAATTATTTTTTTTCTAAAACATTATATTATTATGAAACAAATGGATTAAATCGAATGTTAAAAAAATTAAATGGTAATTATAAGGAAAAGTCAAATCTCCCTCGCTTTTTGTTCACCTCAGTGCCCATTTCAATCCCTAATAACAACCCAAAACCGCCGTCACTTCCAAATCATCAACCAACCCTAAATCACCAACCTTCCTCCGTCGCCGTTAGTTAAAATTAACGGCGACGAGGATGGCGATAGAGATGCCAAGAGGATTACCATTCTCCGTCGACACATTTGGACCCAACACGACAACGAAGAAGACAAAAAGACACCATTTCTTAACTCACGCTCACAAAGACCACACCGTCGGAATCTCACCTTCCAACGTCGTCTTCCCAATCTACTCCACTTCCCTCACCATCTCTCTCCTTCTTCAACGTCATCCTCAGATTGATGAGTCTTTCTTCGTGAGGATTGAGATTGGGGAAACGGTGGTTATTGATGATATTGATGGTCGTTTCAAGGTTACTGCTTTTGATGCTAATCATTGTCCTGGTAACTTCACTTTACCTAAAGTTTGTAGCTTTTTCGATGGTAAGAATTTATATGTGATGAAGTTTTTGATCATTTTCAGGAGCGGTTATGTTCTTGTTTGAAGGGAGTTTCGGTAACATACTTCACACTGGTGATTGTAGGCTTACACGTGACTGTATACATAACCTCCCTGAGAAGTATGTAGGAAGACAAGGTCAGACACCAAAGTGCTGTCTTGATTACGTCTTCTTGGATTGCACATTTGGGAAGTCCCCTCAGAGGTTTCCGACAAAACATTCAGCAATCAGACAGGTGATTTGTCTGCAATGATTGCAATCATAATGTAAAGTTTCATTTTTATTGAAATTTCTTGTTAATGAATCAGGTAATCAGTTGTATATGGAACCACCCTGATGCACCAATTGTCTATCTTGCTTGTGACATGTTGGGCCAAGAGGATATTCTCTTAGAAGTTTCCAGAACCTTTGGCTCCAAGATTTACATCGACAAAGCTACAAACTTGGAATGTTACAGATCGTTAATGGTTATATCTCCTGAGATTGTCTCTGAAAATCCTTCTTCCAGGTTTCACATATTCAGTGGGTTCCCTAGACTCTACGAGAGAGCAAGCGCAAAACTCGCTGAGGCAAGATCGAAACGTCAGAGTGAGCCTCTTATCATCCGCCCTTCAGCCCAGTGGTATGTTTGTGATGATGAAGAAGATGGTTTCGAGAGTGTGAGCCAAGTTCAAAAGCAGAGGAAAGTTAGGTTTGATGAAGCTGTTAAGGATGAGTTTGGTGTTTGGCATGTGTGTTACTCAATGCATTCGTCACGAGATGAGTTGGAATCTGCGATGAGAGTTCTGTCTCCGAAGTGGGTTGTGTCAACAGTTCCTTCTTGTAGAGCAATGGAGCTTGACTATGTGAAGAAAAACTGCTTTGTTAGTCGGTTTTCTTCTGATGATCCTTTCTGGAAGCTTCTAGATATCGACATGGAAGTTTCTTCAGCTGATACTCAGACAGTAACTCTTAGTTGTTGTCTCATGAGTGACAAGGATTCTGCAAATTCCAAGATGGAACCAGTGATTGAATCCTCTACCGTAAAGAAACAGCTTCTGAGTTTATCACCTGAGAAAGACCTTCCTGTAACTCTGTTTGGGAGAGCAAGGCTAAGTTCTCAGATGGTATCTGATCAACTACATGTGAGCCAAGCCATACACAGTACACGTGTAGAGAAAATGAATCTTGAGGAAGTAGTTGAGTCTTTACAAGAAGATACCAAGCAAGAAACAATGGAGAAGGTATCTTATAGAAGCTTCTCTTCTTCTACGTCTTCAAAGGAGACTTGTAGAGATCTTAGTGGTGATTTGAGAAAGCTATACAGATCAATGAATGCACCTGTGCCTCGGCCACTACCTTCATTGATGGAGCTCATGAACGCTAGAAAACGTTATCGGAAAAGCTTTAATTTCTAGCAAGGACGTTAAAATGGGTTTGAAATTAATGGGCCTAAATGGGCCTGATATGAACAAAAAAAAAGTGGTGATTCATATACGTACGTGTGCATACAAATATGTGTTGTTGTCACTTGTCACCAAAAGGAAATAGTTAAAGACAGGTGTACACTCATATGAATCAATATTTTTTTACTAATTATTTTCCACCTCTCTTCTTTTACTAAATTTTTTTTTACTGTGAATAAGTAGGCTGTAAAATTTGTTAATTTCCAAAATATTTGAAAATAAAAAATTAATATATTAGCGGTCCCACATGGTTTGTCATCGTCTTCCCCAAATAAGCACAAGCCCTTTCCTCTACAAATTCTCACTCCTCGTGGACTGTTTTCATCGCCTTTGGTAGTTAGAAGTTGTAATTGGTGTAAACCCTAAGATAACCGTCGATTTTCATCGTTGTTTTTGCTATCTTCTTCTTCGCTCGTCGTACATTGTGTGTACGCTAATGGAAAGTAACAGTTGATTTGCATGCTAATTATTGTTGGTCAGGTAAACTCCATTCTCTAAGATTCGAAGCGAAGATCTCCTCTCTCACTCTTACTCTCACTAGTTTTAAGTCATTTTCTCTGATTTCGATTACTAGGTCATCTTCTTAGGGAGCATACACACCAGAGAATCCGAACTCTAGGGTTTATGATTTGTGATATTTTGTTTGTTTATTTTGCTTGCAGATAAAAACAAAAAAAATGAGCTGCAACAACACTACACACGTCTCTCAAGATTCTGTGGTTGTTAAACGTGAGCACCGTTCCAAAGGGAATGTTTTAGCTCAAGACTCTGAAGAGAATAGAGGATCGTTAGGTGCGCAGAGTAGCACTAGTGTGGTTGATCAGGTCCGGACTCCACCTGAAGAGGCTGGTGTTACTTCTTCATCCACCATTTGCCCAGCTCCGGTTTGTAGGCAGTTCTGGAAAGCTGGAAGCTACAATGATGAATTGAGTTCTAAGTCTCAGCAGCCAAGTATGCAATGTTGCTTATAACCATGGCTTAATTGAGTTGCTATTTATTCTCTGGAGGTTGTTTAATGTTTTGTGTTTAAGCGTTTTGCTTTATTGTTATTTGACATGTGTTTCACAGCTGGAAAAAATTATCTTCATGTGCATCCTATGTTCCTTCACTCCAATGCTACTTCACATAAATGGGCTTTTGGTGGTATGCAATCATGATTTTGCCTTGTTGTTTTGTATGGGGTTAACAAGACTTTTCTGGTTTTCTTTACCTGCAGCTGTTGCAGAACTGCTTGACAATGCTGTGGATGAGGTATGTGCTTTACTTTGATCTGCTAAGAGCTTTAATCTGGCTACCTGCCGCTGCTGTGTTGCCTGTTGCAGAAACGTTTGACAATTCACTAGTTGACACCTTGATATTTTTCATAGAGAATTTGTTCTTTTTGGAACCTAGAAGATTCACTTTATGACTCTATTTTGTCTATTGTTACATTGAGGTGTTAGGATGCTCTATATATAAGTAGATGATCTTGAACTTTCTGAATGACAATTGATTAATATGCTTTGTGCTCTGTATCTTCATCACCCTATAGATCCAAAATGGGGCCACTTTAGTCCTTGTAGATAAAACCACCAATGCAAAGGATGGTACAACAGCATTGTTAATTCAAGGTATTTTAGCATGATATCTTTTGGGTTTGTTCCTGGGCCATTTTACAAAAGGGGACCTTTCTAATCATCTTTGCATTACAATTTCAGATGATGGTGGTGGTATGGATCCTCAGGCAATGCGGCATTGCATGGGTTTTGGATTCTCAGATAAGAAATCGGATTCAGCCATTGGAAGATGTATGAATCTTTCTCTTCATTCTCACGTATATCTATATATGATTTTTCAGCAGGAATCTTTATATATGATTCTGTATCTCGTTCTTCGTTATGATTCTATAGATGGAAATGGTTTCAAGACCAGCACAATGAGGCTTGGAGCAGATGTTATTGTTTTCAGTCGCCATTTTAAAAACCAGTGAGTGGTCATTGTTGCTTAAATTATGCGCTGATGTGCTAACATTTTGTATCCAATTATTTATCTTATGTCCATCCGAATCTTTTGAGGGGTGATTGAAGTACTAAATATGAGTGTACGTTTGATCGTTTTACCATTCTGGTTCCCTCTGCTGTTTGTTTTCTTTTCCATCTGACTAGAACATGGACACAAAGTATAGGGCTCCTTTCGTATACATACCTGACACGTACAGGCCATGATAGAATAGTTGTTCCCATTGTGAGTCTCCTTCTCTCTCACTTTTAATGGTATCTTCTTTTTTTTGTTATCTAACCGTGTAACCTTGTGAATATTCAGTTGGATTACGAGTTCAAGACATCAACTAATGAATTTTTGACATTGCAAGACCGAGACCGTTTTATATCCAATCTCTCCATTCTACTAGAATGGTCTCCATTTTCAACAGAGGCAGAACTTCTGCAGCAGGCAAGGCCGAATTTCTTTTTAAAATTTTCAGCATGTAACCCATGTTGTTTACAGTCTCTATATTTATTGGTTACTTTAAAATTGGAATTTGTATGAGTTGTATACTTACCATTTTTACAATTCCATTTTCTTGGATGTAGTAGTATTTTATATCTATGCCCACTTCTTGTTGGCCTATTTTGTGTTTGTGGCTGCATCAAATAAAAACGTTTCTTTATCTGAAATGTTACCACGTTTCTCTTTTCCTTGACAATTTTTTTTTCCTTGTGGCAGTTTGACGACCTTGGATCACATGGGACAAAGGTTATTATCTATAATATGTGGCTCAACAGCGATGCTAAATTGGAATTAGACTTTGACTCGGATACAGAGGTTTTATTTATCTTTCTTGTTTGCGATCTTTTCGTTTCCAAGTATTATCATTTATGTTTTGTTCCTTGCTTCTTACAGGATATTCTCATTGAAGGAAACATAACGAAAACTGGATGTAAGATTACGAATGATCATATTGCAACTCGGTTTTCCTACTCTCTTCGTGTAAGCTTCTATTTCGTTGGGTCAATATTGTTGGGAACTGTTTATGCTTATGTTCATGTACAATGGCATACACGTTAACATTTAACCGTACATGTATGCGTGAATGTATGCAGACAACTGTATATCCGTTAATACTTGTACAACTGCGTTTATACTTTCTGCTGTTTCCACCTTGTTGCAGGTTTACCTATCCATATTATACTTGCGGATTCCTGGGACTTTCAACATTGTGTTGCGTGGTAAGGTTGTCAAGCATCATAACGTTGCTGATGATCTCAAGCATCCGCAGTACATCTTGTATAAACCTCAGGCGGCTGGACATGAAGAGGTGCGCAAAATTTCGGGGCTTTTTAGAGCTTCTTAGTTGTATTCTCCCTTTATTATGCTTCAAATCTGGTTCGTTGAGCAGGCTGAAGTGGTAACGACGATTGGATTTCTGAAAGAAGCTCCGAAGATAAACCGTTGTGGGTTCTGCGTTTATCACAAAAACCGCCTAATAATGGTGAGTTTTGAAATGTTAAATATGTTAAGTTCACACATTCACTTGAAAAGGATTATTATATACCGGGATGTTATTAAATATTTTGTTGCCTTGTTTGTAAGTGTACGGATGTGACTTATATATAACTCAAGGAAAAAGTCTTTGACAGCTGATGGATTTCTCTACTTATACTGGCATATGCAGATACAAAGGGTTTTTTAAAAATCTTTTCAAAATAAACTTAACCTTGTGTGATGTTTTTGCTCTTTTCAGCCATTCTGGCAAGTCGTGAGCTACTCAGACAGTAAAGGAAGAGGAGTTGTTGGTAAGAAGCTGAAAAAGGATCCACTTAATAAGCAATAGATTCTCGACTGATTTGGTTGTTTTCATCACAGATCTATCTGGTGGTAAATTTATATTGAGTTTTATATGTGTTGCAGGTGCTCTAGAAGCTAATTTTATTGAGCCAACCCATAACAAGCAGGATTTTGAGAAAACTGTTCTCCTTCAGAAACTTGAAAAGCGTTTAAAGGAAATGACATTGGAGTATTGGTAATCAGCCTTATCTTTTTGGTGGCTGTTATGTTTCTACTTTAATCTATTCCCATCGCCAAAGTAGATAATATCGTAATATTACAGATATGATATCGTGTTCACTTGCTTTGGGCATGGGGTTTCAGTCCTCCGTTTTATCTTTAAAAGTTTCCCTATTATTCTTTAATAGGAATTGCCATTGTGTGTTGATTGGGTATCAAGATCAAGCTACTAAGAGGGCTCGTCAAAAGGTTCATCAAAATGTTCAACCTGGTGGTAGGAAAAATGGCAACATGTTCCAGAAGAATTCTGCTGGAGATGGTGGCAGACAAACAACAAGTCCTCCTCCAGGCTTCCCAGCAGTTTTTCATAATGCAAATTTGGCATCTCTCCCTAGGGTTTCAGCTGAGCCAGGTAAAATGCTACTAAGAGTTAACTGACTACACCAAAACTAGAGGTCTTAAGTATTCTATATAGACATTGCAACTGTTTCATCTCCCATCTTATAAAAATGGAAAGAATGGAACAACACAATACGCAATATCTTTCTGGAAAACTGGACACTCTTCTAAGAAAGTGATTACAAGTGCTCCTGCTATTATTATTATTTTTATTAATTGCAACAACAACGCTACCATTAGTGCCAGTAACAAAACGACGTCCAACAAAATGAATATGTGCAAAAGAAAACAAATTAATTGCACATATTCATTTTCTTGGACATCGTTTTGTTACTGGCACTAATGGTCGCATTGCTGTTGTAGTGGTGTTGGAGAAGAGGAAAGAACATCCTGATCTTGTTGCGAATCCAGCGTCAAAAAGAAAGGTGGGAAGTGATGGCTTCTCTATCCCAGGACATATTCGGGTTGAACAGGTACCTCAGAGTATATGCTATCATCTCTTTGGTTTCCTGGTGAACATGTTTAATACCACGGGCTAGTATTGCTAACTAGAGTTTCATCTGATCACTGTTAATAGTAAACATGGCACTTCCTTTATGTGTTATATAATGGACATGTGCCCACGCAGAAAAATGATAGTAACTTTAGTTAGTAAGCACTTGTGCCCATACTCCTCTTCTCTAACTTCATTGGTCTTGCGTTTGAACAGGGATCTGCAACTCGGTCACAAGATAGTGAAACTACCAAGTTGATGGACGAAAACAAGAAGCTCCGAGCAAAGTAAGTTGAATTGTCAATTTATCCGCATTTGTTTTTAATTTCTGCCAAACATTTATTATATATCTCTTTCTTATACGCAGATGTTTGGACCACAAGGTGCGAAGTCAAAACCTTGAAATCAAGGTACTTCCTTCTGACATTAACAAACCTATTTTTGCATCTACTTGTCTCTCGCATTTATTTCGGTGGTTTTGACTTTCCGTTGTTCCTTCCAAATCGCAACCTCTAATAGATGTGGAGCCAGTTTAGCGTGTGCTTCAGTCTTGTTGTACTCTTTTTTAAACTATTTATTTATTAATTGGTTTGGCCAGTTACTTGCTTAGTAATGGCAGTTCCATCCATCATATCGCCATAAAAGCCTCCATATTCTGCTGAGTGGATAACAATCTTGATTTTATTTGTGATATAAGCTTTGGATTTTTCCTGTATGAGCAGGCGATGAATCTGAGTAGTGAGCTGGAGAAGGTTAACAGTGAGCACGAGAGGTTAATGAAAGAGCTGGAAGCTTTGGGTATGGTGAAAGAGGAGCGCAGCAGAAATGTAAATACGTAGGAGTAAAGCTTCTCTCCACTTGCAAGAAAATAAAACACCTTTTTGTCTAATGATCATATGATATCCATCTTCTAGGTTTGAAGCTCCTTAGTTTATCTCTCTACTACATAAGGATAGCCTAGGTTGTGAAAAGCAAAACAAGAATTAATGTTTATGAAACTAAAATATCTTTTTGACTAATGAAATCAGTAAAAAGTTATGAAACAACAAATCCTAACGGTTTCAAGAGGAAGAAATGTTCGTATTACTGTATTTGACAATTATTCCAAACGCGATATTATAATTTGTGAAAATGTTATATATAGTACTATGGATACAGCTATCTAACAGGTACGATAGCTGTTTTTTGCTGTAATTGGATTTACACACTTCAAATGGATTTAATCATAAGTAATTGGATTTACACTATAGAACCTTAGAATTTTTTGCTGTAATTAGATTTACACACTTCAAATGTGAAATCCGGGAAATGATTAATCATTAATTCCACGTAAACTGTAATTTGATCATTGTAGTATTAATTAATTAATCACAACTCCACTCACGTATTCAGGTTATAAAGTCTTGATTTGTTTAGACCATATAACAAAACTATATCAGGAAATCATCCAGCCCATTAAAAAAACAATGATACAGTCCTTTACCCCCATGATTCCATGAACCAAGGGGCTAGTCACGTGAGAGAGCCCAAGCATCCACGAGTTTTTACCGTTGAGAAACGTTAACAGCAAGAATCGCATGCTTCAACCACTCCTATTGGAATAAGTCTACTACCACGCGGAGAGAAACCATTCGTTCACACGAATACGTAAACCCCGTTTTACAAAATTGCCCACATGTCGGCACAAATCAACCGTTGGATCTTTGATCGCGCCAAAAATGAATAAGGGTATTTCCGTAAACGAAAAAAAGATCATATAAAAAAATAATTTAAGTGAACATTATGCGCTGGAAAAGACCAGACTCCGAAGTGATCTCGTTGTCTGAGAAGAAAGCAACCGAATCAAATTCAATTCAATTCAGTTTCAAGAGATAAACCAAAACCAACATCTCTTCGCCGTCGTCTGTCTCGGAGATAAAGATGGCGGAGGATTTCGCTAGAGCGGTGGACGATGGTCTTAAACTAGCCAAACGAATTTACTTCGGACACGACCGAGCTGTCGCCGCGCCGAGGCTAACGGCGCCGATGGAGAGATCATCCACAACGTCACAGGCTCACCTTCCTTCATCACCGATGGTTTACGCCGTTATACCAGACCCGGGAATCGTGGATAACCCGGACTTACCTAGCTACCAGCCTCACGTGCACGGCAGGTGCGATCCACCGGCTCTGATCCCTCTCCAGATGAACGGGGTTGAGCTCCACGTTGATTGTTATCTCGACACGGCTCTCGTTACCGTCACGGGCTCGTGGCGTGTTCACTGCGTTATGGGAAGCAAGAGATGTGATTGCAGGATCGCTATTCCTATAGGAGACCAGGGTTCGATTCTTGGTGTTGAGGTTGAGATTCCTAGAAAATTTTACACAACACAACTGATCACAGCTCAAGATGGTAACGAGTTGGAGAAAACGGCACAGACTCAGAGTGGTGGTTTCTTGAAACCAAACATATTCATTCTTACAGTTCCACAGGTGATGTTGACGATTTGATATTTTTTAAATTGTATCTTTGGTTATTGAAGCTGTTACTAAGATATGTTTATAATCAAAAAGACTGATAGGGTAAGTTTAATAGTATATAGTCCTTTGTTTTAGGTAGTTCTCGAGATTTGTGAAATGCTAATGGTAAAAAAAATGAAACCAAGTGTTGGTTTATACACTGCATTTTTCAATTTTAATAGCTAATATTTTTATAATTTATGATATCCACATACATGTTTGTTATTATTCTCTAAAGAATGAACAATCTTATTGAAAGTGGATGTGTTCTTCCTCTTATCTAAAATTTAATTGATTGTTTCTAGGTTGATGGAGGTACCAACCTCTCTATCAAGATGTCTTGGTCTCAGAAGCTAACATATAACGATGGCCAATTTTTTCTAGACATTCCTTTCAACTTTCCTGAGTATGTGACTCCTGCGGTTAAGAAAATCTCCAAGAGAGAGAAGATTTACTTGAGTGTAAACGCTGGTACTGGAACTGAAGTTCTATGCAAAGGATGCAGTCATCCACTTAAGGTGTGGTTTCATTACATCTTTCTGAGCTCACTCGCTATGATGTTCCAAGGTTGTGTACTCTTCTTTATATCATATATCTTTAATTGTTATGTTCATTTGTTACAGGAAAAAATGAGGAACGCAGGGAAGTTAAGTTTTGCATATGAAGCAGATGTTTTGAAGTGGTCTAACACAGATTTTAGCTTCTCTTACACGGTATTAACTATTACAGATGCTTTTAAGTATCTCTGTTTTGTGCTGCAATGTCCTATATATTGCTTATTTTTTTGTAGGCCTCTTCAAGTAGTATAGTTGGTGGACTTTTCCTTCAACCTGCGCCTGTTCAAGATGTTGATCAGAGAGATATTTTTTCTTTCTATCTTTTCCCAGGGAAGCAGCAAAGAACTAAGGTTTTGTTTTGTACCTTTTTGTTGCCTTAAATGCCATTTGCAGTTCAGTTTTAAGTTTCTTTTTTTTTGTTGTTGTCTACTTTAGGCAGTGAAGCGGGAGGTAGTGTTTGTTGTTGATATAAGTAAAAGCATGGCTGGAAAAACTCTTGAGGATGTTAAGAATGCGATATCTACAGCTCTATCTAAGCTTAATCCTGAAGATTCCTTCAATATTATCACTTTCAGTGATGATACTTCTCTGTTTTCGACATCAATGGAGTTGGTTACTACAGATGCTGTTGAAAGAGGTATTGAGTGGATGAACAAGAACTTTGTTATTGCAGATGGTACTAACATGCTCCCTCCACTAGAGAAGGTCTTTCCTCCACAAACTTGTAGATGGTTCGAATTTGGTGTTAATGTTGGCTAACTTCTTTCAATACTTTCAGGCAGTGGAAATGCTTTCGAATACTAGTGGCTCCATTCCTATGATCTTCTTCTTAACAGATGGGTCTGTTGAAGATGAGAGAAAAATTTGTGGTGTAATGAAGAAACGTCTTCTAAATGCTGGATCAGTGTGTCCACGGATACACACTTTTGGGCTAGGTACACCTTTTTCTCCAAGGTTCTGGTGTGAATATGACCAGGACTTATCTTTCTACTCACCTCTTCACTTGTGGTCTTTTTGTAAACATTTCAGGTGTGTTCTGTAATCACTACTTCCTGCAAATGCTTGCTAATCTATCCAGGGGACAGCATGAATCAGTTTATAATACAGGTATAGCTTTCACCCCCTTATGGTGAATGAAAGGAAAAAAAAAGGTGTTAGAAGTATCTTAAACATTTTTGTTTATTTGTCTGATGTATAGATCACATTGAGGAACGGTTAGACAAGTTATTTACAAGGGCTTTATCCACTGTTCTTTTGAATATAACAATCGAGCCCCTACAGAATCTTGATGAAGTTGAGGTGAGTCTCTATACTAAGATTGATTGCTTATCTTTTCTGGCAAATCTGAGAGTGTTTCCTATGACTACTAATAGGCGTACCCTTCAAATATTCCGGATCTGACTTCCTCAAGTCCATTGATGATATATGGGAGATACAGAGGAAAGTTCCCTGAGAATGTGAAAGCCAATGGTCTGTTAGGAGATTTGAGCAGCTTTTCTGTAGACTTAATTGTACAAAATGCAAAAGACATGCCTCTTGATAAAGTAAGTTCATCACCTTCCTTCTCATTATCATTCCTTCTAAAGTCATTCAGGTTTAACAAACTGTTACAGGTGTTTGCAAAAAATGTGATTGACTTGCTTACTGCTGAGGCATGGTTCTCTGAAGACAACCAGTTAATAGAGAAGGTTCGTTTACAATACACTTCCTCTTTTTTGTCATCTTTAGTATTGTCTTCTTCATAATGCTTTCTCTTTTTTTTCTTCTTCTCAGATTACTAAACTAAGTATCCAAACCGGTGTACCATCTGAGTATACTCGAATGATCCAGTTGGAGAACACAGAAGAAGCATCTAAACCCATCAACACTGGTGGAAAGAAAAAGGCTGAAACCAACGGCGAGAAACAGAAGGTGGTATCAAGAAAGATCCCACTACAAAACTTTGGGATAGGCTTTGGTGATACAACAGCTACCAGAGAGAATGTTCCACCAGGATTTGGAGAGCAGAGAGCCCCTGATGCTGCTGAGAAGTTCGTGAAGGCTGCCTCGAGCTGCTGTGTCTCCTTGTGCAACAAATGTTGCTGCATGTGTTGTGTCCAATGCTGCACTAAGCTCAATGATCAATGTGTCATTGTCTTCACACAGCTCTTCACAGCCATTGCTTGCATTGCCTGCTTTGAGTGTTGCACACATGTCTGTTGTGCCTGTGGTGGAGACGACTAGTGTCATTATAAAAAAAAAATATGATTTTGAACTGAGTGTAAGTTTGTTTGTACATTTACACAACATGTAATTTTTATTCGGTCTGGTCAAATATAAAAGCTTTACTTTGTATAGTTTGCTTCAGGGGAGAAAAGTGTAAAGAACAGACAAATCCATGTGTTATCCTTCAACTTGTTACTTGTTTTCGATCTTTTAAACCATATTTTATTTTATATATAAAGAATGTGATTTTTGTGAACCAACATTCAACAAAGTCCACAAAGATGGGATCATGCTAGAGAAATGGTGACTTTGAAGTTGTAAGAAACTGATTTCGAGAGTTCATAGAAACTTGAACCCAACTGGCTTTTTGCTGGCGTCAGTGATTTGTGTTTACTGTGTCTTTAAAAACATGGGACCACTATGATCATCTCTTATCTCCTAAAGCTACTTACTATTCAAGGAGATCAAAGATCATCGACAGAAAAAGAAAATTTCTTGGATACACACACACATACACATGTGCTTATTTATATACGTCTCTTGAAACATGAAGGTTTGTTTTCATATTTTGTCTGATGTAACTTAACATTTGTGTAGTGTTGTTCTCTCTTTGATTATGTAAAATTTGTTTGGATACAGATTTTTAGTTGGGTTCAGAGAAGACTTGGTGGAAAGAAGCATGAGACAACTTTAGATTCTTGTGAGTAAAAGTGTTCTTATATACTATGATGACTAATAATACATTAAAGAATCTTTGCATAGATCATTGATATGTTTGATGATGTGTATATATATAGCTCAAGAATCACCAGGGCCTGCTTTGAGTAAAGACCTCCAAAGTTGGACTCAAGATGAAGAAACTTTCTTAGCCATTGGAACACTTGGAAACAATATCATCTCCAGGGATGAAGAGGAAGAAGATGCAGATTCTAGCAAAGATCTCACTGCCACTAATACAGATGTCAGTATAGGAAAGAAGAAGTCACTCTCTTTTCTTTTTAAGAAAATGTTTGTTTGCTCAAGTGGCTTCAAAACTCCACCTCCTCTTCTTGATTTTTCTAGAGATTCATTGCCAAATACAAGAATGGAAAAGGTACTACATATCTATTAACATAGATGTTCAAATTATTCAGTCACTACTTTTGATTGTAAAACATTTTTCTATGTATGTGCAGATGCTAAGGACAATACTTAACAAGAAGATACATCCGCAACGTTCAAATGCTATAGCAAAGAAGTATTTGGAGAATCATAAGATTATAGATGAGGCTCGTTCAAGTGTGGAGGTCAAGAAATGGGTCAAGACTGATTCTGAATGTGAGACTTTTTAATATTTAAAGTATTTATCTCATTATATATATGATGCATTTAACCAAGTGATTTGGCTGGCTTTGTTGCAGTATATAGTTAGATCAAATTAATATAATAAAACAACAAAAGGACATATTAATGCTGAAAGATGAAGAGTGTAAGAGTTTAAAATAGATAATATACAAATTAGAAAGAAAAATAAAATTAAACAAGAATAATAATATAGGAAAGTTTTAATTTAATTTCTTTGATGATTACAGATATTGTCTTGGAGATGTAGATATCAACCAATAAGCTAAAAATGGACCTGATTGATTGTCATGGTAATAATAGAATGGAAACAAAACAAAAAATGTTTTCTTAATATTAGTTGATTCTTTTTGTTTCTTGAAGTATATGAAATTAGGAAAACACAGTGACTGATTTGAGAAAATAACCAAAATCTATATGTTTCAGGAATCAAATGAGTGGTGTAAGCTCAAGTGTTAAAGATTTGGGGAATAACATGAAGATGATAGATAATGAAATATCTTTTGATATTTACAGTCTACTTCCTATTTTCTGTTTTTCTTGTTCCTCATTTTTTCAGATTTAAATGTGGTGAAGAAATCTGTTTGCTCTCGTGTAATGTTGTAACTACTACAAATGTTCATCTTATATAAATAAATTTTTAGTTCTTACTATATCAATGGTCCAAAAAAATCTTGACAATTCAAAATAATTGAAGAATGAGTGACTGTAATTTTTAGTCATGTATGTTAAACTGTTCATGAAATTGAAATGTGAATTTAACTAGTCCAGATCAGATAAAATAAAGGCACCACAAAATGCACTATAAAAAAAAACAAATGGGTCGATTATAAAATAAAGACAGAGTTTAGGGTATGTATTTTGTGCTTCAGACAAGATCTAACTCAAACCCAAAAAGTCAAAAAGGCAAAAGCGATAGAAGAAGAGAGTTGAGTTGCAGAGTTTCAATGTCTTGGGCTGCTCCTGATGATATCTTCTTCTCCACTTCTCTCGCCGCCTACTTAGACAGTATCACTCTCTCCATCTCTACCATTACCGATGATATCATATAAAATAAGAAAATCTTGATTTTGATCCCAATGGTTAGTGTAAATGACTCAGCAGTTTCTTATTAGTATCTTAATGTCTTTCTTTGTAGAGAAAATTCTTGTCTTGCTTCGTGATGGGCGGAAACTGATGGGCCTACTTCGGTCCTTTGATCAATTTGGTACCTTTGTTTTGTGTTTCTTTCTCTGTTGTTTACTGAAATTCCCTGAAGAGGTTTTTTGTTTTTGTGAAGCAAATGCTGTTTTAGAGGAAGCTTATGAAAGAGTCATCGTGGGTGAACTCTACTGTGATATTCCCTTAGGTCTTTACATAATCCGTGGAGAGAATGTTGTGTTGATTGGTGAACTGGTAAAAGCTTTTACTATAAACAAACCAGTTTCTCCTGCATTTGAGATAACATCTGAATCAGTTTTTTTTTGGGGCTCTTAGGACGTTGAAAAGGAAGAGCTTCCTGCTCAAATGGTTCAAGTTTCAGAAGCAGAGATCAAAAAGGTTAGTTCACTATTGTTTTTGTGTTTTTTTTTGTATTCTACCAGACTCCTCAAATTACATTTTTCTGTGTAATCAGGCTCAGAAAGCAGAGAAAGAAGAAATGCTTTTAAAGGGTTTGATGCGGAAAAGAATGGAGTTCCTTGATCTTGATTAGAAGGGCATTTTTCCTATGTTGTGTTGAAGCATTGTGAAATCTAGGAAAACCTGAAGATGGAGAATACTAGAAACTACTCAATGATATAAGTCATCATGTTAGTTGATGTTGTGTGTGTGTGTGTGTCAGATAACCTCTGCTCTGTTTCTGTAATGAAATGTTGCAACTAAAGCCCACGTCTTTACTGGACATAAATGATGAATTGTAGTTCACCAAAACCAAAGGTGAAGATATCAAAAGAGAAAACAAAGTACAGCTACAACTTTCTTGCTGAAAAAACTTAAGCACACCCCAAACTCAATGGTTTATTCAAAAGTGGAAAATAGTGAATAGTTTATACACTTCAAGTTATACATCTTAATATCATTATTATTATAGCATATCTATAAATCAAAATACTAAAGAATCTAAAAGGATCAACCAGATTCTTTGTCTAAAGATGTGATCTTTTTTTTTTCAAAACGCAGAGCTATCACATCATTCATCAGTCCTTGAAACGATTTCCCAACTCCTGCTCGGATGTCTTGTGCAAAACACTTGGCCTGCCACAGAAAATGCCTATATGAAGAGAGGTATTTGAGTTCAACGTATTCAATACAGTCTTTCAAATAGCTGACCATCAAATTTATCACAAATCTTTGGTTGAAGCTCATTGTTTTCACGGCTAGATTGAGGAAGCTCCACCATAACCTCCACCTAGTTAACTAGTTTAAAAGAGATAATTTACCAACTAGTACATTTGGATGTATTCTTAGTGGATTAGTTGGTAAATTATCTCTTTTTGTTGGATTGTATTTGATTATGTTTATGGAAGACTTTCAAACCCCTTCTGGTTTTAGTAATTTAGGTTGGCAATCAAACGATAATAAGCTGCTTATTCAATGGATATGTTCAGCTTTGGATGTCACTCAGCAGTGGTCTTCATCCATTTGGAGATGAGAAAGATGGTGTTAAAAACATTGCTAATAAACCAACCAAGTTTTCTTTTGGTAAAAGATAACCAACCAAGTTGTTTGCTGTAAATAAATCACTGGCCAAAGCTAAGCAACTCATCAGTGTCTGCTAGAATATGGTCATATTATACGGTAACATCATTTTCTTGTTTGATTCATAATCCTTCTAACAATGTTTTGGAACACAACCAACCAAAAGCGAATCCAAAAAAAAATATTTGATATAGAGCAGTATATATATTTATTAAAGTTTATATATAATTTAATAAAACTGTAGTATATTACATATAAATAAATTACCGTATAATTTTTTGAAATTACATTTAGTCATTATTTAAAAAAAAATAATAATATTGTGTATTAAGTATTCATGTTAAGTCGTATAACACAAATTATATTAACCATAATATTTTTATTTGATATACTTATCTATTTTAGTTTTTATTTTTATCTAAGTATTATAAGAAAAAAATATTAACTTAATAGAAATAAAAATTTTGAGTAAAATTAAGTAAAATATAAGTATTATTTTTGGTAAAAATACTATTAAAATCAATTATAAGTATTGAAGATAATTTTAGCAGATAAAATAAAAATAGAAAACGAAAATATGGATGATGAGTCCAAAATGCTAAGTCACATAGTGTTATATATATTTATTTTTTTAAACTGTTTAATATTGTTATTTTGTTCATTTTGTATTATTATGATAAAACTAAAGGCTATTATAGAAGAATTTCTAGAAACCTCGTAAATAATATACGAAACAATATTATCTTAGTTTACACCAAAAGCATGTTCCAGAGTTAATTTTCTTTACGCTAGTACTAAAGTTAATTAACACGGATTCAAACATTATGTATTTATTTTATTCTGCAAAACACCGACGACCCCATTAAAGGCAACCACCCATGTGGCGGGCGTCTCATCAACTGTATTTTTGTTTGCTCTATTATAGGGCTGTGTTATTTGTTCTTTTTATATTGGTTACTATAATAATTATTTGTCATTGAAATTTGAAAGTCTAACAAGCGCATGCAAAATGCGTTACTTTATACATGTAATGTAACTAAACGAAACTGCAGAACAATTATTTGGTAGTTTCTAGGAATTTCATGTGCGTATTGTTTGATAGTTTCTAGGAATTTCATGTGCGTATTTTAAAACAGATAAAACTATACAACGTGCCTACGTAGAATCTACCGAAGCTATACAACGTGACTGCGTATGAAAAACTACGATTAGGAAAAGTCAATTGTGTGAGTTTTGTAAGTGTTCCCTTACCTTTAAATAAACAAAACCCTAAATGAAAGATAAGCTTCCATCAACTTATTATTAGACATTAAACTTTCAAACTTCTTCTTTTTCATCAACAAGTACTTCAACAGTATATACTATGTATGATAGAATACAAATACACAATGGTCGTGAATTAAAGGTAAACGCAAATGGTGCATGAATAGATGTAAAAAAGAAAATATAAATAGACACGTTACTCAACTTGCCTCGCGGATCTGTATTCCTTCCCCAACTACTACACGCATTTCCCACGAGTTTGACTATCTTTGTCCAGTTTGTTTATTTGTAAAAAGAATGTATAGGTTTTTGTATCTAATTGTCTTGAAATAAAGTTTCCATCAACTATGTAAAAGAAAGACATTGCATTGGACGACTTTTCTTAGTTTTGATTTATTTTATTACACTACAATATTAATTGCGTAAATCTAATCCATGATTACTTTCCTTTGTATTAAACTGATTAATACAATAAGTTGATATATATTATGATGATAAAGAAAAGATCATTGGTACAACCGCACCTAGATTCCCGTCTGAAAAAAATACAATAATATTAACACGGCTAGATGCAATCAACAAATCAGATTAAGGGTTGATCAGTGGGAAGGCTTTTGGATTTTCTGTAGGTCGCGTAGCAGCGTAACATGGCTACTCAACACCCTTTGTACTTGTAGAGAATAAGAATCTAACGCGTACTTTACGACCAACATTATTTGGACACGCGTCACGTCAAATTCGTTCAGACAACGTGCATTTGCCGCCCCCTTCTTTCTGGATTCCTCCTTGTTTTGTAATAACCTAATTTACTGGCTTTTCTTTTTTCTTTAAATATCCATTTTTAGCTTTATTACTATTTTATTATTTTCAAAACGCATAACAACAAAAACGTGGTCGACGGAACATGTGGGTGGTGGAGCTGTCTTCAACTGGGATCCACTCACAGTTGGTTAACGCCGTGAAGGTTTTGTTTCCTTTACGCTTTGCAGATACGATAATACCCTTGCATATGGATCAGTCGTTTTTGCCACATATTAGTAAGAATTAGGGGTGAGCACGGATCGGATATCCGAGTTTTTTAAGGTATTTGTGATTTGCTTCGAATGTTACGGATATCTAATTTTGGTATTTGCTTTGCTTCGAAAAAATACGGATATCCGGAAAAACGGATATCCGGAAAATAAATACATATTTGCGGATATTTACGAATATTTACGGATATCTCATCCATTTTAATTAGTACAAATAATCTTAAGATTTTGATACAAATTTGCTTTGCAAAAATATTTTTTTGCATGATATATAAAATAAAACTTAAAAGAACTAGTGAATTTACAGATTTTGTAACTTTTTAAAGTTTAAGTTACAATTAGAATAACACAAAATTTAAGAAAAAAATATAATTGTCAAAAATATTTTATCTCTTTTTATGTAATACTTTTATATAAGTAATAATTTGAATAGAATTGTTCAAAATCATGTGCTAAATTAATAATTATATAATTTTATACAATTAAAATTTTAAATATAATCAAAATATACATATATTTATATATTTACGGATCGGATCGG